TTTATTTTGAGCCAACAAGCCGCTCCTATCCAGTAGGATAACGATCGTGATACTGGTGGCGCAAGCAGAACCCTTAAGCCAAAGAGACATTTTCCACCCCGATGTCATGCAGGTACATCGACGGTGTCGAGATTACGGAGGAGCAGAAGCTGTACAAGAAGGAGCACGACGGCAAGTTCTTCCGGCTACAGGTGTCGACCGCCAACTCCAGCATCATCGGCACCTACAAGTGCACCATGAAGAACGAGCTGGGGTCGTGTGAGAGCAGCGGCTTCATCAACGTTCTCAGTAAGCGGATACCGTAGGACTCTTAATGTTCCATCAGCGCTTTCAGGGCCATCAGTATTCAGTTACTTCCCTCAGTCGTTAGGGGCCGACGCCGTAAAATTCCATTGGCAACCGACAAATGTTAGTTGATTGCGCCAACACTGCTGTCAGTTAATGCACCCGACGCAAGCTTTTTAGTGCAGCTGTGAGGAACATACACAGTTGGCAAATGATTACGTGAATGATTAACTGAAACGTCGAAATTATACACCGTTGATAACTGACGGTGGAAAAAGAGATATATTGATATTTCGAGCACAAGCCTTTGTCGAAACAATACACAGATGAGCAGGTCATCCGAGTGCCGTTTTGACAAATGCTTGTGGTAGAAACATCAATAAATCTGCTTTTCCCTCTTCCGCCATTCATCAACGAGGAATAAGGCCAATTAAACTGCCCCAAACAGGTCCAATGTTTCTAATAAGCGACTGCACTTATATTCGATGTTTTCGTGCCCAGTGGGTTGCAGGCTGTCGGTCTTTGCTAGTGGCCGAGTTACTCTGTTTGTCTGTTAGTCTGTTAGTCTGTCTGTTAGTCTGTTAGTCATTTGCCATTCACGGTTTGGTAGCATTCGTCATGCTCGGTACGTGCCCTGATGTTACGCAGGCAGCATGGCTAGGCTCTTGATCAATTGTCACGGCTGTTCTCGTCAGCTGGTTGGGGGTATGTGGGGCTCGATGTTTATGGCATAACTATGCCTAAAATATCTCTATATAAAGGCATTTATTGATATTTTCGTGAAGAGCTTGAGACTGTGGTGTCGCTCATGGAATATCGAATACCAATACGTGTACTCTTCAGAATCTCCGGAGTTTGAGGAGCCCTTGTGTGACATCGGGGCCGATGAGGACAAACCATTGACACTGAGGGTCAAGATCCTGGCTGTTCCGGAGCCGACGGTCACTTGGTGAGTGCCCCGGCCGGTCCAGTTGGAGTGGCCTTGGACTACATATGTGATGTGTATATTTTTGTTGTTGTTTTTCCATAGATGCGGCAATATGATCCCTTACCATCTGATAGTTTCACTTTCTATCCCGTCCTGGTAATGACATAACCTAGAAATTTGCGTTGACATAAGTTCAGGGTTGATTTCGTTAACCAACGTGTTAGCGCAATCCTCACTATGCTCTTCATCGGCATTACCACAGCGGCATTATGTGACTGTTCGCATCGACACCTGTAAAATCAGTAACCTTTAGCGAAACATCGGCACACATCCATACATACACGCTTACATTAGATGCGGCACAACCGAACATGATAGCTGTTCGTTAATCTTCTGGGCTTGTCATCAAGTTCTTCTTATTCACTTCCTGTTACTACATGAATATATTTTATGACTTCCCGTCAAACTTACGCTGGCATCATCCCACGATTTTCCACGTCGATTTTGACTGCAATAAGCGTGACATCGATCAAAATGGAGAGCAGCGCAACTTGCCACTCAATGTGCGGATGCTAGACACTCTTGCACCTGGCCAGGACAGGACGCGGCGTCGGCAAAACTTTGTCAGCTCGTACGTCAATAGTTTCGACGTAGTATTTCGGCAGCGTTTCGATATAAGGATGCCAATGTTAATTGGTTGCACGGCATAGCTTCACTACAGTCATCATCTATGTCAGTTCGCTATATTCGTGACTACGACCCAGTGTTCCAATACTCAGCCACTTGGGTGGCAGGGATGTCGATATTTTCCATACTTTTACACCACAGCTTTGGGTCCACTCCCTGTGGCCTCTCCCCTTGCTCAAAATCGGCCAATCAACATCAAACCGGGTGGCGGTCAAGCCAGCGTCTAAGCGCCGCAGGCTTGACAAATGGGCCGGACAGGTCGTACGTCTGGCTTCGGAGCCAACGAACAACGGATTAGCGCCAATGAATTTTGTGTGTGGGGATGCTGGGGAGCCATGATTCCGACAGCATGAATTTACATTTACATCCTGCGCACCCTACGGAGTGAATTTTGGGACGTTGCGTCACATGTCCGGACATGTCATGGACCCGCGTCACATGTGACCTGTCGTCCACCTTACCCGAGGCGCATCAGAGCTGGGTCATGACCCGGCGCCCGGGTGTCCCGACCGGGCGCCACCGCCGCAATACCGACGCCACCGCCGGCTGGCCCGCCTCGAGGCCCCTGGTCTTGGCACGGTGTCCGGGTGGGGCCCGGTCAAGGCTGGCTTTCCATCAAGAAGAGTTATGAGCTGAGTAAGACCTGATGGCTTCACTGAACACAGTCGGTGCAGGCGCAGGCAACGGAGGCAGCTGTAGCCGTTCAATAGGTGCAGATACAGGCAGTTGGTCGATAAGATTTTGATGCACGCACACTACAAGAACAAAATAAATGTTGTCGTGGGCTTGGTGCTATGGAGCAGGTCGGCTGCTTACGCCATTTTGCGCTGTCGTTAGCTTCGAAATACCCAATGCAAAGCTTCGAAATCGTTTCGAATTGTCAAATTCTCGTGTTCGGATTCTAAGCGCAGCTCAAGCCTTATTACCACACGATGAGTCTATGGCTCATTCGTCGACGCGGCATCGTAAATCTGGCAGTGAAAATGAAAACCCTCCAGCCGCTAGTCCACTCTCTCGGCCTCCAAGTTCGTGGGTTGAGCGTCATCCACCTGCGCAACATAAAGTATGCCGCGCCGGCTGGCAGGCAACTGATGCGGGAAACAGCCGTGGCGTCGCAATAATTGTCGCGCTTGCGTGTTTCTTCACTTCCGAAATTTGAAGCCCATCTCTTTATCATGAAATGCGTCACATCCACGCAGTCAGATTTTAGGCTCCCATCGCTAATCGTAACCTCATTGTTTTACCTGAATCATGCGCTCGTTAGTCACTTGAACGCCCTCCGAGCTGACGCTACATGTCAACCGCTGGGCCGAGGTGTCGGAACTCTGCGTGTACTTGACATTACCACGAGGTGCGTGGGATATGTGGTTGCTAAACGGCACGAGATGCGTGGGATATGTGGGTCCACCGTCTCCCATGCACAGCGTGATGCTGTCCGCCGTCCCCCATGAACAGCACGATGCTGTCGGCCGTCCCCCATGAACAGCACGATGCTGTCCGCTGTCTCCTTGAGCAGCGCGGTGCTGTCCGCCGTCCCCCATGAACAGCGCCGTGCTGTCCGCTGTCCCCATGAACACCACGATGCCGTCCGCCGTCCCCCTGACTTGCCCAGAAATGTGACCCTCGGAAAGACGTGACAGAAACCGGCCAAATCCAACGTTACGTTTAAGCTCTGCCTTCAGCGTCTGGTATGTGCTGCGATGGTCCTGCGGAGATGTATCACGTCAGACTCGTCCTGTCCAGCGAGATCGGGAGGCCTATGCACTGCGATGAGCTCTTGGCTGACAAAAACAACTCTGGCGCGCGTCCAGGTCTTCCCTCACCTGGAGCAGGGCGAAATGATGTTCATGAACGTCACAGATTTTCTCGGTCTGACACCGCTATCACCAATCAATTGATTTTGGGTCAGATGTTTTGGCGGCACATGTCCTTGTGACACCGATAGTCCGGACGTTTCAGGTACCGTGACGGCGAGGAAATATCGCCGAAATCCTCCGAGTTCAAGATCACCCAGGACGGCGAGTACTACAGCATGTCCTTCTCGCCCGTCAAGGAGGCCCACCAGGGCAACTACTCCGTGATGGCCAGGAACAGCCAGGGCGAGAATTCCTCTTCGATGCATCTCACGGTCTACAGTGAGTTCCAGCCGGCCCTGGCTGTCGGCGACGCCCCCGGCTTGGCCGAGGCCGGTGCCAGCGAACGGGCGATATTTTTACCCTGCCACGTTTCGGTGACGTCACGTGCCGCTCCTCTCGGCTCCAGCCGAACGGAGCAATGTCAGATGACCCGCAATTGCGCTCAGTTCTGCTCAAGTCGTGACGTCACTATCCGCCCGTTCCCGTGGCACCTCGAATCAGTTTGGACGTAGCGTGGTCTGTCGTGCTGGTTGCGTAGCGTTGCAACCGTCCCCCGTGTCACCCCCGTAGCTTGTGTGGACTTATGGACGTCCGGCTGTGCCCTGCCCGTCATCCAGGAATGCTCCCGAATGTGTAGCCATCTGTTGCGTCATGCCTCCCCCTTAAAGCCGACTGTAAAGCCGCAACACAGCGCCCAACGTCAACACCCCGGACCGTAATAGCACTCCGATCCCAACATAGACCCCGCTAACCTTCCCGAGCTTACTCAGACGGGGGCCCGCCGTCCAGCCGCGTGCTCGTTGACGCGGAACGAATGCGCGTCGCCCGCGGCGCCGGCAGACGCGCCACCCCCGCCCTGCCGCCCGCCCCATGTCCACCTCTGCGTTGCACGGCTGTAGTTCCGTCGGCCACCCGGTCGCGAGTCCCGTCCTCCTCCCGCGCCGCGGGGCGCCGGGCGCCGGCGCCGGCCATCGCGGCGTGGGCTGGCGCGGGGGCGCCTGACTCACCGCTGACGGACGTCTCGGCCGGGCGCTCTGCTCCGTTTTAGAGTCGGGCAGTGCGCGGCCGTCGGGCGGCAGGGCCGGTGACGATCGGGACGCGGCCAGCCGGGCGGGCGACGATCGCGACGCGGCGATGCAGCGCCTGGTGCTGCAGGAGACGCTGGTGAGTGTGACCGAGCGCGGCGGCGCGACCGCCGTCGGCTCCGTCAACCGTCACCGAACGAAACGACGACGAAGACGACGCGGAGGGCAGCGCGCGGCGGCGAGGCGCAGGCCGCCGCGCGAGCAGTGGCGACGAGGCTGGCGCGAGCGGCGACCGCCAGCCGGCCAAGCGGAGGAAGAGCGGCGCGGAGGAGCGGAGAAAGGGGAAGAGAACGGAGGAGGAAGCGGATCTAGGTGATAAGGGTGGTGCGAAGAAGAAAACGGGAGAAGATGTCCTGGAGAGCGTTTCACGAACGGTGCGCTCTATGAAGGAGGAGCAGGTAAAGGAGAGTGAAGACTTCTGGGGAAGCCAGAAAATGGATGAGGATGAGGATCAGTTGTTTGCTTCTCGTCGAGACAGGCGAGCTTTGCAGGAAAAAGCCAGGTTAGAAGGCGAAGAAGCCTCGCCTGGAATGATGAGACGAAAATCAAAGGACGCCAAAGACAGTATCACGAGCACAGTAAAAACTGTCAAGGAAGAACACACCATGGAGATGGAAGACGTTTGGAGTGATAGCCACGATCATGGTGATGATGAAAAGAAAGTGCCGGGAGACGGCCAACGGAGAAAAAAGAGAACTCAGCAGATGGACAGACGAAGAACGCACGAAACATCGGCGGACGGTCGCGTGGAGAGTGTATCAGAAAAAGTAACTATTGTGAAACAGGACGAAACGATTGAGAGCGAGGATTCCATAAGGGATGTGAAGGGCAAACCAGATGACTTACCTGACAGACGGAAGAGGACTAAGACCCGTGATGATGGCAAGAAGGCGACGGCAGGAAAGAAAACTGGGAAAGACGCGACAGACATTGTGACGGAAACCACCAAGAGACTGACGAAAGAGGAAAAAACTGAGGAGGTGGACGTTTGGGATGGCGATGATAGTGCTGGTGGCAGGCGACCATCAGCCAAAACCGGAAAAACAAAAGGGAGGGACGTGCGAATCCAGCATGACGTGCAACGTGATGATGAAGACCACGGCTTACTGCACGAAAAGCGCGACGGCGAGTTCATGAAAACCGTCTCTAAAACTGTGAAGACTATGAAAGAGGAGCAGACCAAAGAAAGTGAAGACTTCTGGGGAGAGGACGCTCGTGGCGACGATGCCCTTCCAGCAGATAAAAAGCCTATCGCTGAAAAGCAAGACGTTCGTACCCAGCGACCAAGACAGCGAGATGATAAATCTGATGTCAAGAAAGTCGTCTCGAAAACCGTTAAGTCCATGAAACAGGAGCAGGTTGAGGAGAGCGATGACTTCTGGGGAGATGACGCACATGCCGATGATAGGCTTGCACCCGATAGGGGAAGAAAAGTGAAAAAGCATAGCGCCCAGACCGAAGCTGAAACATGGCACGATACTGACAGGGGTCCTTTGGAAAAGAAACGAGGCGATGATTTCACGAAGAGGGTCTCGAAAACGGTCAAGTCCATGAAGCACGAGCAAGTTATGGAAATCGAGGATTTCTGGGGCGATGACGCTAATGCAGACGATGAGTACACGCCTGACAAAACAAGGAAAGCCACAACAAAGACCATTCAGATTGAAAGTGATGAAGGTCAGGATCGTGCACATGAAAAGGCACTGAAGAAGAAACCTGACGATGAACTCACGAAGAGAGTTTCAAAAACTGTGAGGTCCTTGAAGGAGGAACAAGTCAAGGAAAGTGAGGATTTCTGGGGAGATGATGCCCGTGCGGAAGACGAATATACGCCTGACAAAACCAGGAAAGCCACGACGCAGACCACTCAGACCAAAAGAGATGATAGTCATGATCACGGACATGGAAAGGTACCGAAAAAGAAATCCGACGATGAGTTCACGAAGAGAGTTTCAAAAACTGTGAAATCCATGATGGAGGAGCAAGTCAAGGAAAGTGAGGATTTCTGGGGAGATGATGCCCATGCTGATGATTCACTTACATCTGATAAAATGAGAAAGGCTAAACCACAGACCATTCAGACTGAACGTGACGAGAGGCATGATGATGGGGATGAAAAGGTGCTGAAGAAGAAACCCGACGATGAGTTCACAAGGAGCGTTTCGAAAACTATAAAGTCCATGAAGGAGGAGCAGCTCACGGAGAGTGAGGATTTCTGGGGAGACGATTCACAACGTGATGATAGCTTTACGTCCGAGAAAGCAGAACCAGTCAAAAAGCGTGACGTTCGTAAGAGAAGCGAGGATAAACCGGACGTTGTCGATCATGCCGTGAAAGAGAAGAGTGGTCATGTTAGGAGGAGCTCGAAAACCAGGAAGATCATGCATGAGGAAAAGATCGAGGAGATGGAAGATTTTGGGGGAGATGGTGTTCATGCCGACAAAAGCAAGCCAAGCAAAAAACGAGACGTCCCGGTCCAACCAGCAGCAAAACCGCGCGATGACACAGGGACGGGAACACCTGGTGACGACGTCCTCATGCGCGTTTCGGAAACGGTGAGAACTATGAAGGAGGAACAACTTCAAGAGAGTGACGATTTCTGGGGTGATACTGAACCTTCGGATGACAGGGTGGCGCCGAAGAAAATCAAGCCCGTTGGCGGCCAAGATGCCAGTACACAGTTTGGCGAGGAGCCTCGTGGTGTTGACAAAGGTACGGCCACTGACAGGCCCGACGATGTCAAACGAACCTCAAGAACGGTGAAGACCAAGCACGAGGAACAGGTCACACAGTTGGACGACTTCTGGGGCGATGCGGCGGATGGCGACGATAGCTTCACGCCCGAGAAAGCCAGGCGGGCTGCGGAACGAGAAATAGAAATCAGACGTTCAGAACGCCCTGACGGCGTAAGTAAGGGGTCAGTGACGGATCAACCCGAGGATGCCTTCGTGAAAAGGATTTCGAAGACCGTGAAGTCGATGAAAGAAGAGCAAATTCAAGAAAGTGAGGACTTTTGGGGAAAACCGAGGGATGAAGATATGCTCCCAGACAATGTCAAAAGAAAACGAGACCGGGCATCAGAACTATTGGATGATGCAGACACCAGTCATCCTACAAAATATAAACCACAGGTCAGAGAGGGGAATGACGTGGTAGAGAAGCTCACCAAGACCGTGAAGTCGATGAAAACCGAAACACTGAAGGACTTTTCCGACATGACCAACGTCCCCGCTGAGGGATTGACACCCGAGGACGTAGGCGTGGGCCCTCAGGATGCGGCAACACCGGGGCAGACGCAGCTGCCCCGGAAGCCGCTCAAGGACGGCGAGACGCCCATCACCGACGCGGAGATGCCTGAGGGGGACCAGCCGCGTCGACCTCGCGGCGACCGGCCCGCTGGTGACAGACGGGTGCCCTCCGACGACAAGGCCACCGCCGCAGACTGGCCAGCCGACGCGACCGCGACCGGCGGCTGGCCGGGCGACGACCTGGACCGCGTGAACGCGGCGCAGGTCGAGTCACTCCGGCGGCACATGCAGGCCGACAGCGACCTCTTCTGGGGGCGGCGCGGCGACACGTGCCGCGTGCAGGAGATCAGCAGCGAGCCCTGGGAGGACGAGCGGCGGCCGGGTCGCCGGCCGCTCAGTCAGCAGTCCGGGCTCGTGCAGGAGGTGGACACGGACGACGGCGGAAGCGAGCCCAGCAGCCTGGCCGCGCCTCCCGCCGATGGTCGGCAACGGCAGACGCACTACCAGCAGGTCATCACCACCGTGATACAAGGTGAGATTGCAGCAGGCGTTCGGAAGGCACCGGAACGTACCCTGGCCGAACCGCGGACTGTTCACGTGAACCGAGCTCGGAAAGCCAAACAAGCTAATGGAATTTTTCATGGGTGATTTGAGGTAACTGTAGCGTTTCGGTCCTTTGCGGCAGTTCACGGTCGAGTTTACAACGTTGGTGCCACAACTTGGGAGGTGCGTAAAACACAGACGAATATTCATGGGTGCAGGCCAGCATAAAACGCTTGGCTTCTGATTTCAAGATTTATTTACATTATCATGTGACACTTAGCAAATTGTTCCTGGTTTTCACCTAAAAGACACCCGCAATAGAATGCCTGTGGCCTTCCACATAAGTCATTCATTTCCTTCCGCTGGTGTGCGTCCTGGTGTCTGCCGGCTTGTGTTTGATTTTCTGGTGTGGAAAATACGGGAAGGTTTGCTGTATTATCTTTTGTCATACTGCAGAAACGTCATACAACGAGTATCTACATTCATTGGAGATGGTGACATCTGAAAACATATTTTTGCCGGACCTCTGTTCGTGACATGTCATGACAAACGTCCTGGCTCTTATTTTTAGTTGAAGACAAATATATAATCCCAGCTCAGACTCAGGCTTAGGCTCAAGGGAACGTCCATGAATAGTGTTACGCGTGGAGGGGAAGGTGGTTTTGATGGAGTGTAATCGAACCGCAGCAAGAGGTGTGGCTTTGGAAAGCGTATCGTTACGGCCTGGTGTAGCTGCAATTCGTGCTAAAATAAAAAAGTTGAAACCCTTCGAGCCCTTGAAACCCTTCGAATGTCATTGGTTGTTTTTCATGGTAAGCGACACGCCTGCTGCGCTTCGCATCTCCAGCCGAAAAGAAACAGCTAATTATGACCACTAGCTCAGCCTCACTCAAGGGCCGAAGTCCCTTTATTCCTTTTGGACCTATCCTCAACATGGCGTTACCTGGGACATCGCTTACCTTAACTATCTGAGAACCAAGGGCGAGGAGTTGAAAAATGATTAAAAATTGCGTTACATTACTTATGGACGACCCCAAATGTTTGGCACGTTCGGTTGAACAATCCGTTCCGGACTCGTCTTCGACGCATTTCTTGAATGTGTGTGTAACGGCCTGAAGCCGTCACCAACATGTTTCATTTCCGTCGTTTGACAGACCGACGGGGACGTTTCAGATAACGGGGAGCGTGTAACCACGAGGTCGCACGTGATGGAGAGCTCTGCCGGTGAGTACGGCCTATCACCTCTGGTGGCTGAGGAGGTGCCCGTGGAGGCGGGCCGGCGGCGGCGGCGGCGGGACGACCGCCGGCCGGGCGAGCTGCCGGCCGACGACACCCTACACCGTAGGGAGGAGGTCACCACCTCTCACGTCCAGGTGCTACAGGACAGGTCCACCGGGACATCGGTGCCCGAGAGGGACGTCGCGACGCCAGGGGACAAGGCCACGAAAGGTACCCCGCGAGACCGCGATGTCCCAGTGCGGCAAGATAAGGACAGTGAGACCCCAGCTTATGATCGGGAAGTTCCGATTACGAAGGATAGGCCAGGGAAGGGTGCGGCTCCCGACAAAGATGTCCCAGTGCGGCACGATACGGACAGTGAGACCCCAGCTTCTGATCGGGACGTGCCGTTTAGGAAGGATAGGCCAGGGAAGGGTGCGGCTCCCGACAAAGATGTGCCAGTGCGGCAAGATACGGACAGTGAGACCCCAGCTTATGATCGGGACGTGCCGATTACGAAGGATAGGCCAGGGAAAGATGCAGCTCCGGACAAAGATGTGCCAGTGCTGCAAGACGTGGAGACAGAGACTGGTCTGCCTTATCGGAAGGCTCCAGTGGCTCAAGATGGAAGAATAAAAGATGTAGCTGCTGACAGGGATGTTGCAGTGGTGCAGGATGAGAAGGTTACAGGCTCTGTCCCCGACCGGGACGTCCCGGTAACACAGGACAGAGGAGTCAAGGACACGTTACGCGATCAAGACGTCCCTTCGCTGCACGAGAAACCAACCAAAGATACAGCAACCTACAGCAAGACCGACGACTTCTTGCATCACAGGGAGGAGGTCATAACCTCACGGGTGCGGGTGCTGGAAGACAGAACAATCGAAACGGAAAAGCTGGATAGCGGTGTCCCAGTGCTGCAAGACGCGGCTCCCACAGATACATCACTGGAGCGGGATATTCAAGTGTTGCAGGATAAGGAGACGAGGACAGCAGCACCGACCCGGGACGTGCCGATCGCGCCAACCCCCGACGAAACACTGGATCGGGATATTCCAGTGCTGCGGGATAAGGAGACGAGGCCAGCAGCACCGACCCGGGACGTGCCGATCGCGCCAACCCCCGACGAAACACTGGATCGGGATATTCCAGTGCTGCAGGATAAGGAGACGAGGCCAGCAGCACCGACCCGGGACGTGCCGATCGCGCCAATCCCTGACGAAACACTGGATCGGGATATTCAAGTGTTGCAGGATAAGGAGACGAGGACAGCAGCACCGACCCGGGACGTGCCGATCGCGCCAACCCCTGACGAAACACTGGAGCGGGATATTCCAGTGCTGCAGGATAAGGAGACGAGGGCAGCAGCGCCCATCCGGGACGTGCCGATCGCGCCAACCCCTGACGAAACACTGGATCGGGACATTCCAGTGCTGCAGGATAAGGAGACGAGGCCAGCAGCGCCCACTCGGGACGTACCGATCGCGCCAACCCCTGACGAAACACTGGATCGGGATATTCAAGTGTTGCAGGATAAGGAGACGAGGACAGCAGCACCGACCCGGGACGTGCCGATCGCGCCAACCCCTGACGAAACACTGGAGCGGGATATTCCAGTGCTGCAGGATAAGGAGACGAGGTCAGCAGCGCCCACCCGGGACGTGCCGATCGCGCCAACCCCTGACGAAACACTGGATCGGGATATTCCAGTGCTGCAGGATAAGGAGACGAGGCCATCAGCGCCGACTCGGGACGTGCCGATCGCGCCAACCCCTGACGAAACACTGGATCGGGATATTCCAGTGCTGCAGGATAAGGAGACGAGGCCAGCAGCGCCGACTCGGGACGTACCGATCGCGCCAACCCCTGACGAAACACTGGATCGGGATATTCCAGTGCTGCAGGATAAGGAGACGAGGCCAGCAGCGCCCACTCGGGACGTACCGATCGCGCCAACCCCCGGCGAAACGCTGGATCGAGATATTCCAGTGCTGCAGGATAAGGAGACGAGGCCAGCAGCGCCCACTCGGGACGTGCCGATCGCACCAACCCCTGACGAAACACTGGATCGAGATATTCCAGTGCTGCAGGATAAGGAGACAAGGACAGCAGCACCGACCCGGGACGTGCCGATCGCGCCAACCCCTGACGAAACACTGGATCGGGACATTCCAGTGCTGCAGGATAAGGAGACAAGGACAGCAGCGCCCACCCGGGACGTGCCGATCGCACCAACCCCTGACGAAACACTGGATCGGGATATTCCAGTGCTGCAGGATAAGGAGACGAGGACAGCAGCACCGACTCGGGACGTGCCGATCGCGCCAACCCCTGACGAAACACTGGATCGGGATATTCCAGTGCTGCAGGATAAGGAGACGAGGCCAGCAGCACCGACCCGGGACGTGCCGATCGCGCCAACCCCTGACGAAACACTGGATCGGGACATTCCAGTGTTGCAGGATAAGGAGGCAAGGACAGCAGCGCCCACTCGGGACGTGCCGATCGCGCCAACCCCTGACGAAACACTGGATCGGGATATTCCAGTGTTGCAGGATAAGGAGACGAGGACAGCAGCGCCCACTCGGGACGTGCCGATCGCACCAACCCCTGACGAAACACTGGATCGAGATATTCCAGTGCTGCAGGATAAGGAGACGAGGACAGCAGCACCGACCCGGGACGTGCCGATCGCGCCAACCCCTGACGAAACACTGGATCGGGATATTCCAGTGCTGCAGGATAAGGAGACGAGGCCATCAGCGCCGACTCGGGACGTGCCGATCGCGCCAACCCCTGACGAAACACTGGGTCGTGATATTCCAGTGCTGCAGGATAAGGAGACAAGGACAGCAGCGCCCACCCGGGACGTGCCGATCGCACCAACCCCTGACGAAACACTGGATCGAGATATTCCAGTGCTGCAGGATAAGGAGACGAAGCCAGCGGCGCCGACTCGGGATATCCCAATCAGGAAGGGCCAAGACACCAAACCCGGCGCGCCCGAGAGGGACGCACCGGTGGTCCATGATGAAGAAACCTGGACGACGGCACCGGATAAGAAAGTCCCGATAACACAGGACAAAGCAACGACCAGGCCTGTCGCTCCTGAACGAGAAGTTCCAGTACTAGGGGATGACGAGACCGGGTTGGCACCACGTAGGCCTGTTGCTGTGCGGAGGAGGCAGGCAAAGCATTCTGAAATCACCGAAGATGTTGTGATCGATCGTTCAGTGACAGATACGTTGCCTGCCGACGATGACAAACGCGATACCGCCAGGGATGCTATTTCAGGAGAAAGGAAACGGACGTCGGATGAACATATAACCAGCGATATCACAGCCTTGGATGATAAGGAGTTCTTCTCGAGGCCTCAAAAGGGAGTTGACAGGAGCCCAGAACGTCCTCAAGAGGTACCAAAATTACCCGAGACGGACGATAAGCGTAAAAAATCAGTGGTTAAAAAGCTGCACAAGAAAGCTGTTGAGTTATCGGAAGAGGAACTGTCAGAGGATGAGAAACCGAGACCGAAACGTAAAGAACGACGCATCCCAATCGCAGACGAGCAGTCCCTTGAGCCCCCGGATATCGATAAACCCACCACGATCAAGGCACAGCAGGACGCGGATGTTGCCGTGGAGCCAAAAGAGATTGTCACTGATCACCCCGAGGAATACGAGAAACCTGTCGCTAAAATCATTCGAATTCAGACAGATTACGAGCAAGTTGAAGAAGTCATGGAAGGTGTTTATGACGTTCATAAATCCGTTTCCGATGTAACGATACCAGAAAGGGATTCTTCGCCGTTGGAGCAGCGAGAGATTGTTACCGCCGAAGAGGTAGAAACCTCATCTGACACCAGCAAATCGACGGTCGTGGCAGCTTCGGCCAGTCAGGAACAGGAGCGACCGCGTGCAGACGACCTGGCGACGCCCGTTTACATGGACGGCAGTTCCGAGACGGCGCCTGAATCGCGCTCCAAGCCTGATGTAACGAGACAGCGGACAGACGTTGAGGAGACGGCCGCCGTGGATCAGGCTCTTGTGAGGGATGAACAAATGCCAGACGTTGCTGGTCCGAGAGACCGTGACACCGTGGTGCGTGACAGAGACACTCGGCCCGCGCCAGATGATCGTGTTGATGCTGAATCACAGACCCCTGGGGATCAAAAGGACACTGATCAGCTGCGTCCAATGAAGAAGGCTACCGACGTAACTCGACAGGTAGACCTTGATGAATTCGATGTTGAAACTGAAGAGGTGTACCAGATCACTGAAGACGCCGATGTGTCAGGCAATGAGCCCACATCAACCAGCCGCCCTAAGACGCATGACTCCAAAATTCCAGCAGAAGACACCATGCAGTCGCAGAAGCCCGAGGACTCTGGACACGACTTCTGGTCACAGCTAGCCCCGGAAGACGTGGAACCTGACGTGGAGAAAGCAAGGGCCCTAAGGGAGAGGATAATTCCTGTTCTGCAGGATGACACGAACCTCGACTTGAAGGTACCTGAAAAACAACAAGCAGATGAGGATGGGGTAAAACCAAGAGGAGTTGGAGATGGCTTCTGGTCCCCAGAAACCTTAGAAGAACATGATGCGCCGGTTCCCAAGGGTAAGGTAGAAGGTAAAACGATCGCCCCAGTTCCAAGCGAACCAGTTCCCCCCAAATCTGAAGATGTAAGCGAAAGTAAGCCAACAATCCCAAAAGAAAGAGCTGCTCCGGAATCAAAGCCTGGAGAACCCGTGGCAGCAACTTTAGCCCAATACCCCGAGACCGCGGACCGGGTCACAAAGGAAAGGCCGGACTCTGACCTTGGAGTGACTGAAAAGGTCGATGAGGTCGAAGATTTCTGGTCGCAAATAACTGACAGAAGGGAAGAAATGGAGGACGACAAAGCCAGGGCCTTCAGGGAACGAATCATTCCGATTGAAACGGACCTGGCCGCTCCTGACTCACCTGAGGACTCCAAAAGAAAATCGAAGCCTGTCGCCGGTGATCAGGTTGCAAAGCCAGCAAGTCCAGTAACCAAGAAGCATGAGACTAAAGCGCCTGGTGACGAAGACTCACAGCTGGTAGAACAAGGTATCTCCCCGTCGGACATTGCCACGGAACCAGAAGAACCTCATGCTGACAGGCCCAGTGCCCGGAAGGAAAAAATTGTTCCGGTGCTCCTGGATGGAGTTTCTCCCGACACTACAGCTGAAGGTCCGCAGAGATCAGAGCTAGACGGCATACCTCACGATGATAGCCCTACGAAAGATCAGCCGGTCGCCGTTTCGCCTCGCAAGCCTGTCTCTGAAATACCTAAGGATGACATTCGGTCCAAGAAAACTGTAGCAGTTGAAGAGGGAGATTTCTGGTCACAGATTGTCGAGGAAACTGAAGAGACACTTGTTGGCAAAGCCAAGGCCTTGAAAGAAAGAATTATTCCGGTACTAGAGGAAGAAACATCACCTGATGTGATAGGTCAAGCTCCACAAAAATCAGAAATCCACCAAAAGCCACTTGACGCTGAGACTGCAAAAACCGATATCATCAGTGCTTCCCCCAAAAGCCCTGACTCTGAAACACCGGAAGAGAGGAAGGGGTCACCTTTGAAGAGAGAGGAGAATGATTTCTGGTCACAAATTGTCGAGGAGGTCGAAGAAACGGTGGTCGGCAAAGGTAAGGTTCCACGAGAGGTAGACGTACCATTAGATCTGGACGAAAGGCCACGTGACACAACCACGGTTCGTCCTCATAAATCGGTACAAGATGAAGAACCTGTTGGAGATCAGCCTTCAAAGCACGAACCCGTCGCCGTGTCATCCCAAAAACCGGTTCCTGAAATGCCTGAAGAAGACAGACCATCTGTGAAGCCAGAGAAAGTTGGCGTAGAATTCTCGTCACAGGATGTGGACGTGACTGATAAAACTCCCCTACGAAAAAGGAAGCCTTCAAAGGAAAGAATTGCCCCCGTGCTCCTGGACGAGACTTCCCCAGACGCAACGGTGGAAAGTCCAGCGGAAGCAACACGGGATGACGTAGCCCCGGATAGTGCCAAACCAAAGAAGGTCAAACCGGTCGATACTTTGCCGATGAGTTCTGATTCGGAAACCCCAGAGCTCAGTGAAAGGCCAGCTGAAAAGCCTAGAATCGTTCCAGAAGGTGATTTTTGGTCACAGATCACCGAGAAAGCCGAGGACACACCTGTTGAAGAGGCAAAATCCACCAGGAAAAGGACCGGGCCTGTTATGCCGGATGACACGGTTCCCGACACAAGGGATACAGCGCAGTTGGACACAAAGCGCGGCGATATTTCTATGCCTGACGATCAAATGAAGGGAAAGCCTGTTAGTGCGCCTTCAAAGCGTCCAGACTCCAAGCTGCCATCTGATGAAGTCGCCGAATCTGAAAGTGCTGAAGATCATGACTTTTGGTCTCAGATTGCCACAGAAAGTGAAGAAACTGGTGTTCACAAGGCGGCGGCTGTTCGCGAAAGATTAGTGACGATTCTTCAGGACGAGAATGTTCCTGTTTCTGAGGACACTGGCCGACCAAAGTTAAAGGAAGGCGACATTACTGGTACTGAAACTCAGGAGCCCATGGAAAAACCACGTATTCGTGCAAAAGAAAAGCCTGAAGCTGGCATCTCAGTCGACGAAGGCGTGCCGGTGGAGACGGTAGAGGTGTGTCAGGTCTCGTCACAAGTGGATGAGACAGAAGAGATTTTCACTGACAATGCCAAGAGGACAAAGGACAGGATGGTCCCAGTTCTCATGGACGAGTCTCTACCTGACACAAAAGGAGTTGGCGAACATAAACCAAGGCTTGATGACGTTTCTCCTGATAGCGATAAACCTGCAAAACTGAAACCGAGTAGGGTTGGGTCCAAAGAACCTGAGCCTGGAGTACAGGAGGAAAAAGGAAAGGAAGCAAGGAAAGGGAAGGAAGGAAAGGTCAGTGATCTCCCATCAAAAGAATATCGCCCCATTCAGCCTGAAGTTGAGGAGGTTCATCCTGATAAGCCCGGCAAGGTTATTGACGAAGACATTGAGACGAAACTGATCCGTGACCGTGATGATATCAAGGTCGGCAAGGTCAGGGCTGTAGAAGACAGTGATACTACCCCTGTTTCTGAGGAAGTCAGTGGAGAGAAACCGAAACCAGATGATACAGTCATCGATGACAGGGTTCCGAAGATGAAATCGGATAGGCCCCATTCAAGGAGACCAGAGGGTGGCGTCCCAAGCAGTGAGGACCTGCAGCACGGGAAAGCCGAGGAGGTAGACTTCTGGTCACAAATTCCCAAGGGAAATGAAGACATAGGCGAGGAAACGCATGTTGACGAAGTTGTTGTCGTTACGGAAAGAACTGTCCAAGTTCTCAAGGACGAAATCATTCCTGTCGACAAGGATACAGTCAAACACAGAGCAAAACCAGAGGAATTACCTGCTGCACTTGTTCGACCAGCAAAGGAGAAACAATTAGCTTCGACTTGTGAGGAGATCGATTCCGAAACTCCAGCTGATTTGGACGCTCACCCAGACATCAAGGAGGGTGGTCTTCGAGACCGGGCTTCGCCAGTTTTGGAGGATGCTGACCACCCGAAGCAAAAACAGGGTGAAATGGCCATCCCCGACGATCAGGCGACGAAGGTAGAACCAGCTAGTACTCCTACTGGACTGCCCGAGTCTAGGACTATACCGGAGGACCGCGCTCAGGTCGAGATCACTGAAGAGGGCGATTTTTGGGCCCAAATAGCTGCAGAAAGTGAGACGGTGGCCGTCGACAAAGCGAGAGCTGTGAGGGGAAAAGGTGCCGCAGTTCTCGAGGATGATGTGGTTCCCGATACCGCTGATACCGGCAAACCTAAAACAAAGCCTGACAAAATACCTGTCACGCATGGTCGTGTAGCAGTGGAACAGCCAAGTATCTCGTCAAGGCAGATTGAGCCTGATTTGCCATCTGAGAGAGGCGTGCCAACAGAGACCGTAGAGGAGAAGGAGATGTTGCCAGACATTGCCAAGGACAAAGAAAAGACACCTCATGGTAAACCTAAAGCCACGAGGAAAAGTATGTCACCAGTTCGTCAGGATGAATCTGTACCTGAAATCAAGGTTGATGACAAAGAGAAACCCAGGATAGCTGGCGTAGCACCTGGTGATGATGAACGCACAGATATGAAACCGGGTGGCACTCCATCCGAGAATCTGAAACCCAAAATACCTGACGCCAAGGATATTGAGTCTCTGAGACGCGAAAAGCCTGAGGAAGAAGATGCACCAGAAACAGAGGTTTGTGATGAGCAACAACCGAGACTCGATGATGTTGGTCCTCACAGCAGTATGCCTGTAAAAGACAAACCAACTGAGACTTCCTCCAAAAAACCTGCATCCAAAATACCCATCGAAGAGGATAGCCAGTCTTTGGAACTTGAGGTGGTCGATCAGGTTGCAGGTACTGCTGAGAAAGTTGAAGAGACATGTGCCGTCCAGGCAAAGGCCCCCAAAGAGCTGGTCGTTCCAGTGCTACAGGACGAAGCAGGCACTGACAAGAAGACTAAGGATCAGCAGAAACCCGAGTTTCCTGAAGGACCCCTCGATGGTGACACGCCTACCAAGGCCCAGCCAGACAGTGCAAAGGAAAAGCCACCGCAACCTGATGAGCCCAAGCAGGTTGAAGCTGATGATTTTTGGGCACAGATAACCGGGGAAACTGAAAGTGCAGATGATGACAAAGCTGTGACTTTCAGAGACAAGGCAGTTCCAGCTCTGGACGAGGCTATGATAGGTGGTACACCAGCGATAGGTACTACACCCGACACCATTGTTGACGCAAGCGTTACCCCAGACACGAGCGCCCCTGCGGGCTCGAAACCCCCAGAGAAGAGCGGCATGCAACCTGAAACCGTGGAAGAAGATGTCCTGTCCCCTGTCCCCGAGAAAACAAGGTTGGTCGAAGATGATGAGACCAAGGTAGTCACCGAAGGCATAGACCAGGTCCCACGAGATGAAACTAGAATTGACACGAAGCCTGATGCTCAAGGCAAACCAAAGATAGGCGAAATGCATGCCGATAGAGAGCAACCTGAAAAGCTTGAACTGGAAGACGTTAAAGGTGTAGAAACGTTCGACGTGCCAGAAGAAACCGTACCCGCTGCAGGCGATCAGGCAATTCATGCTCGCGAGCCCACGAAACAGAAACATTTGAAACCAGAAGACGTAGCTGCTCCAAAACGGAAGGCCCCAGAAATGCAGCCTAGCGGTGTTGCTCCACAACAACCTGACGAGGAAATCCCAGACCATATTGAAGAGCCGCTCGACGAGGCCGGAGAACGCGATTTCTGGTCGCAGATGTCCAAGGACAGCGGGGAGACGGACGTTGATAAGGCGAAGTCCTATCCGGACAAAATGGTCCCGGTCGTTGAAGATGTGGCTGCTCCTGACTCAGAACATCCAAGTCAGCTTAAATCCAAGGGAGCCGACGTGTGCACTGATACCGAGACAACGGCGGAGAAGCCAGTCAGCGCTCCGTCGCGCGAGCTCGATTCCGATACGGCAGGCGAAACCATCCCCACTGGGGTGGCAGAAGAAGGCGATTACTTGTTACGGGATGCCGAACGAATCAAAGAGACACAAATGGATCAATCTAAACCAACCAGCAGGACAGTGCCTGACACACAGTCTGGCGGTGAACCTGAGGCGCCCCAGCACCCTGCGGACGCGGCTCCGCAGGTGAAGCCAAAGGACGTTTCGTCTGAGGCACCGGAGCCTGAAGTGCCAGATGAGAAGGACACCCATTCTGACAAGCCTGAGGCGGCTGATGTTCGAGATTTCTGGTCGGAAATTGCCGACGAAGGTGAGGACACACCCTTTTTCAGGCCGGAGGATAAACCGGAAAAGCCCGCTTCCGTTGTTGGCGAAGAGGATGCTCCGGCCCCCACGGCTGTCAGCCTTGGAAAACCAGACCTGGCTGATGTTATCGATGAAAAATCGAAGATGAAGACTGACAGTCTTCCTTCAAAAAAGGCAGAGTTAACGGATGACAGGCCTTCGCAGAGGGATGAGAAGGCAGACTTCTGGTCAGAACAAGCCGAGGACAGCGGCAAAACGGACGACTTGAAACCGCAAGCTGGAAAGGAAAAAATGACACCGGTCTCTCAGGAAGACATCCCAGATGAGCCAAAGCCGGAGGTAAGTGAGCAAAAGCCAACAGCTGATGAGAAACCTCCTTCAGATAAAACTGCGGAAGTGAAGCCAATTCCTGCTCATCCATTAACTGCTGGCGATGAGCTGCCGGCTGAAGCATCTCAGCCTAAAGCTGCTGAAGAGGTCGATTTCTGGTCGCAAGTCGCTGAGAAAGTAGAAGATACGGTTGACGAGGGCATCCGTACCTCTGAGGTTAAAGATCAGCGGGCACCAACGTCGCATAAGACGGTGGTCGAAGGTGCACCGGTGGAACAGGGCGCTGTAGACGCAGATAAATTGCCCGCGGACCTGGGCGAAACGCTACCGTGCTTGCCTAAAACGGCTTCTGGAGAAGTCCCCGTTCCGTCGTCCCCGAGTTCCGTCGGCAAAAAAGTGGTGTTTGACGATAGCCAGGTGCCTGTCGACGACCAGGGATCCCCAGATACGCCAATGGCCCGACCTCCCCTGGAGAAAAAGGTTTCATTCAGCTTTGACGATTCAGATAAGTTGGCGGACGCCATCGGGCGTCAAGCAGATGTTGCGGATGAGATTCCCGAGAAGCGAACCGACAGAAAGTTGAAATCGCCTCCGCCAACACTCCCGCCGTCAGCACTGTTTGAGCCTGAAACAATTGAGCCTCTTGCCGAGAAACTGCTCGCTGCAAAGCCCGAGTTACAGCAAAAGTCAGACTATGGTGAGCTTGGGGTAGGATTGGGCAAGGAGACTGTGTCAAGTGTGTCTTCCTTCGATGAAGACAACAATGCCGAGAAAGCAGATGTGGGCACCGTGAGCGATAGTGCAGATGAAGTCGAATGGGAAGATGATTCCATTTCTATACCGATTCAAACGCCAGCGAAGGAACTGCCAGATCAGGTGGACTCAAAATCACCGCATGAGAGGACAGACGACAAAATCCTTTCAGACCAGGACCAGGACAAGCCAGCCGGTTTGCCTGAAATCGGTCCAACACAGGTACGCGATGATATGAAGCCTTTCGAAGCTGATAGCAAAGATGCGCCAAGACCATTCATCGACAAAAAAGATGAAAAACCTTCCGAGAAGCCTGATCAGTTATTCCCGAAGCCGCATGATAAGGAGCATATCGAGGAAGCTCCTCGTAAAGACAGACCAACTGAAAAGGATGCGGAATATCCATCAAAGCCTGTTTCAGAGGCAGACGAGACACGTGAAGAGGTCGGTGCTGGTTCCTCCAAGCCGCAGCCGGACCAAAGGGCAAGCCTTTCCCCGACGGAAGGCGTCCCGACAGCTGAAAAACCAGGTGTGGACGGCAAGACGCCGCAAGCAGCTCGGAGTGCTCCGGAACGAAAGACGTCCCCCGAAAGGACCGGTGAAGGCCCCCCAGACACAGAAAGGCAACCCGATAAACCTGATCAAGAATTATCAAGACCACTTGGAAAAGAAAAGACTGAGAAAGATTATCCAGACGAGGATAAACCGCACGAGAAACTTGATCAGGAGCCTCAGAAAGCACGCGATGAAATGGCGGATAGAGATGTTCCAGTGACGGATGTGTCGCCTGAGAGGCGGGCTCAGGAACCATTGGACGATGGACAGGCTCCTAAGGGTGCTCCTGATAAAGATAAGCCATCGGAGAAACCTGGCGATAGGCCATCCAAGCCGCGAGACGATGAAAAGGTGGTCCCAGCAGGGCGCGAAAAACCAGGCGACCTATCAGAAAAAGATTCTTCAAAGCCTCGTGGTGACGAACAGCGTGACAGGGATGTCCCGCCTAAACGACATCCGCCTGAGAAACCCGACCATGCTGAAGATAAGAAGTCACGACCAAGTCCCGCAGAGAAGGACCAACCACACTTGAAACCCGCAGCGGATTTACCGAAACCGCAGGATGACCGTGATGCTAAGCACGAAAGGCCAGATAGTCATCCTCCAGACACTGACAAAGAGAAGTCAGCGCCATATGACCGTAAAGTTGCGGATCGCCCTCCGGAAGGCCATGATCTCCACGATCAGAACGTTCCGCGCGATACCAAACGTCCGGATCATCGCCCCGGGGAATATGATATCCCTGGTCATGAGATTCCACACGATACCAAGCACCCGGATCATCACCCAGGAGACTATGATGTCCCTGGTCATAAGATTCCGCATGATGCGAAGCACCCTGATCATCGCCCAGGGGATTACGACATCCCTGGTCATAAGATTCCGCACGATACCAGGCGCCCGGATCATCGCCCCGGAGACTATGATGTCCCTGGTCATAAGATTCCGCACGATACGAAGCACCCGGATCGTCGCCCCGGAGATTATGATATCCATGGCCAGAGAATTCCGCACGATGCCAAGCACCCGGATCATCGCCCAGGGGATTACGATATCCCTGGTCATAAGATTCCGCACGATACCAAGCACCCGGATCATCGCCCAGGGGATTACGATATCCCTGGTCATAAGATTCCGCACGATACGAAGAACCCAGATCATCGCCCCGGAGACTATGATATCCATGGGCAGAGAATTCCGCACGATACCAAGCACCCGGATCATCGCCCAGGGGATTACGATATCCCTGGTCATAAGATTCCGCACGATACGAAGCACCCAGATCATCGCCCCGGAGACTATGATATCCATGGGCAGAGAATTCCGCACGATACCAAGCACCCGGATCATCGCCCAGGGGATTACGATATCCCTGGTCATAAGATTCCGCACGATACGAAGCACCCTGATCATCGCCCCGGAGACTATGATATCCATGGCCAGAGAATTCCGCACGATACCAAGCACCCGGATCATCGCCCAGGGGATTACGATATCCCTGGTCATAAGATTCCGCACGATACGAAGCACCCTGATCATCGCCCCGGAGACTATGATATCCACGGCCAGAGAATTCCGCACGACACCAAGCACCCGGATCATCGCCCAGGGGATTACGATATCCCTGGCCATAGGATTCCGCAAGATACCAAGCACCCGGATCATCGCCCAGGGGATTACGATATCCCCGGTCATAAGATTCCGCACGATACCAAGCACCCTGATCATCGCCCCGGAGACTATGATATCCACGGCCAGAGAATTCCGCACGACACCAAGCACCCAGATCATCGCCCCGGAGACTATGATATCCATGGCCAGAGAATTCCGCACGATACCAAGCACCCGGATCATCGCCTAGGGGATTACGATATCCCTGGTCATAAGATTCCGCACGATACGAAGCACCCTGATCATCGCCCCGGAGACTATGATATCCACGGCCAGAGAATTCCGCACGATACCAAGCACCCGGATCATCGCCCAGGGGATTACGATATACCTGGTCATAAGATTCCGCACGATACGAAGCACCCGGATCGTCGCCCCAGAGACTATGATATCCATGGCCAGAGAATTCCGCACGACACCAAGCACCCGGATCGTCGCCCCGGAGACTATGATATCCATGGCCAGAGGATTCCGCACGACACCAAGCACCCGGATCATCGCCCAGGGGATTACGATATCCCTGGTCATAAGCTTCCGCACGATACCAAACACCCGGATCATCGCCCAGGGGATTACGATATACCTGGTCATAAGATTCCGCACGATACGAAGCACCCGGATCGTCGCCCCGGAGACTATGATATCCATGGCCAGAGAATTCCGCACGACACCAAGCACCCGGATCATCGCCCAGGGGATTACGATATCCCTGGCCATAGGATTCCGCACGATACCAAGCGCCCGGATCGTCGCCCAGGGGATTACGATATCCCTGGCCATAAGATTCCGCACGACACCAAGCACCCAGATCGTCGCCCCGGAGACTATGATATCCATGGCCAGAGAATTCCGCACGACACCAAGCACCCGGATCATCGCCCAGGGGATTACGATATCCCTGGCCATAGGATTCCGCACGATACCAAGCGCCCGGATCGTCGCCCAGGGGATTACGATATCCCTGGCCATAGGATTCCGCACGACACCAAGCACCCGGATCGTCGCCCCGGAGACTATGATATCCATGGCCAGAGAATTCCGCACGATACCAAGCACCCGGATCATCGCCCAGGGGATTACGATATCCCTGGCCATAGGATTCCGCACGAGACCAAGCACCTGGATCGTCGCCCCGGAGACTATGATATCCATGGCCAAAGAATTCCGCGCGATACCAAGCACCCGGACCGTCGCCCAGGAGACTATGACATCCCTGGTCATAAAATACCGCACGATACCAGGCACCCCGACCGTCGCCCCGGAGACTATGATATCCATGGTCAAATAATTCCGCACGATACCAAGTACCCGGACCGTCGCCCAGGAGACTATGACATCCCTGGTCATAGAATACCGCACGATACCAAGCACCCGGACCGTCGCCCCGGAGACTATGATATCCATGGCCAGAGAATTCCGCACGATACCAAGCACCCGGACCGTCGCCCCGGAGACTATGATATCCATGGCCGGAGAATTCCGCACGATACCAAGCACCCGGACCGTCGCCCAGGAGACTATGACATCCCTGGTCATAGAATTCCGCACGATACCAAGCACCCGGACCGTCGCCCCGGAGACTATGATATCCATGGTCGAAGAATTCCTCACGATGCGAAGCAGCCTGGCCATCGACCTGCAGGCTACGATATTTACGGCTATGACCTTCCCATGGCTGGCAAGCGACGGGAGGACCGTGTTGGACGCTACGACATTCCTGACCGTGGGCGTGGCTCAGTGCCGGCACATGGCCGCATAGGCGTGGATGTCGAGCCCGCGGACTATGACATCTACGGTTATGTGCTTCTGGACTACATGGACGGCAGTAAACAACCTGAGTATCATCGCATAGGCTTCGATGTGTTCGGGCGGAAGCCGTCCCGGGATGGGAAAGATCAAATGCCTGCCGATTATGATCTGCACGGCCTCGGCCCGCTCTATGGGCTGCGAGGACCGGACTATGAGCCCCACGGCTTTGATATGGACAGAGGTGGGGTGCCGCGGGATGGAAAGGGACCGGAGCGTCGTCCCGGGGACCACGTCCCTGGGCAGAGGATTCCTCACGATGGCAAAGGATCGGAGCGTCGCCCCGGAGGCTATGACATCCATGGGCAGAGAATCCCTCACGATGGTAAAGGACCGGAGCGTCGTCCCGGAGACTATGACATCCATGGGCAGAGAATTCCTCACGATGGTAAGGGACCGGAGCGTCGTCCCGGAGACTATGACATCCATGGGCAGAGAATTCCTCACGATGGTAAGGGACCGGAGCGTCGTCCCGGAGACTATGACATCCATGGGCAGAGAGTTCCTCACGATGGTAAAGGACCGGAGCGTCGTCCCGGAGGCTATGACATCCATGGCCGAAGAATTCCTCACGACGGTCAGGGAATGGGCCGCTATCCTGGAGACTACAAAATACCGCACGGCGGTCTTGGATATGAAGACATTCCTGGCGAGTACAGCATACTGGGGTATATAATCGTCCCCGACACGGTCCGGCACGAGGGCCCCGACTACCCGCTGGTGCGGTACGACGTGTACGGCTACCGACTGCCGGAGGGGCCCGGCCCGGCCCGGCGTCCCGACGTCAGCCCCTCCGAGTACGACATTTGCGGCCACGCTATCCTGCACGAGCGCGCCGAGGCCGGCTCGCGCGACTACCGGCCCGTCGACTACGCCATCTACGGGCGGCGCGCGCCGGCGGAGGGCGCGCCGGCGCCCGGCGAGCGCGGCCTGCTCGGCCACGTGACGCTCCGCGACTGGGAGACGGAGGCCGGGCCGCGGCCGGCGCAGTTCACGCTGCACGGTCGGCGCATGCCGCAGGACGTGGTGCTGGCGTCCGGGCCGGACGCCGGCCTGTTCAGCCCGTGGGGCCGGCGCACCGGGCCGCCGCCGGGCCTGCGCAAGCTTCGCCTCGCCGACCTCGACACGGACAGCTTCCGGGCGCCCCCGGCGCGTCGCGTGCTCAACACGCGCTCGCGGCCCAAGACGCCGGCCGAGATTGTGGCCGAGCTGACGGGCGGCGGCCGGTGGGTGACGATCTGGCCCTCGCAGCCGCTGCCGCAGACCCGCACTGAGGGCGAGCTAGGTGAGCGGCGCGACGGGCGGCTCGCGATCTCTTCGGCTTCTATCTGCATCTCGAGCGCCGGGCACTCGCGCCCGCCTGAGGTGGTTAACGATTTGGGGCTTCACCGCCGTTTGATTTCGGCCCGGCTGTGTGTGGTGCAGGCCACACGGCGGGTTTATGGCTCTAGCTTTTTATCACCGCGCAGGCACTTGAATTGCGAAATAATTTATGATTTGCAGCCACTCTCACCGATTCGATGGTTTCTTAATGCAAATTCTGACGAGCGATTTGCTATGACTACGGTCAGTCCGCGAGTTGATTGATTTTGCCTCCAGCTCCGTTATCTGACGATGCGAACTTTACAGGCACCCTTTATTTCCTATAACATTGCTTTGCATGCTGGAGTGATGTATGGACTAACCGCGTCATTGATTTATCTGCCAGCCAACGCCAGCCGTGGATAAGGATGAGGTGAGCGGTCCCTACACCAACAGTTCATTCGAAGTAAACATTGTTTCCACCTTGAATGACCACGCCTCCTTAAATGCTCGTAATAAACATGGTGTGTTGCATGTCGCATCGGGAGATCGTGGGTCTTTTTGAGACATTTTTGCTTGGTCATATGTCTGTAATATTCTGCATTTTACTTATTTTTCTGATTTATTCATCAATATTGCAGATGCGAGACTGTGACACTCTGCAACCAGAACTGACAGCGTATGAAACCGGATGTGGCGTATCCAAGCGTAAAACGTTTCCGGAGCGTATGAAACCGGATGTGGCATTTCCGAGTGTAAAACGTTTCCGGAGCGTATGAAACCGTATGTGGCGTATCCGAGTGTAAAACGTTTCCGGCATGTTTTCAGCGATGCCGCAGATTCTCACCAAGTTTACCGATCTCATCTGCTTCATCACCGAGAACAAGATCCTCACCATTCAGGGCTACGGCAACCCGATCCCTGAGCCTCACTGGTGAGTCTCGCGCCCGCGGCTGGCGGAGCTGACACACAAAAGCAGGCGCACGCTGGCCGCAGACACGAGCGGCGCAAACCGGCTCAGACGATCGCTCTGTTGTCCACATTCGCTGCGCAGTCACGGGTGCTCGCTCGGCTCGTGTCGTCGGAGGTGGTCTGCTGACGTCATTCGTGAGTCGGCCCCATGGCCACCGTGGCTGGAAGTTGGGCCCGAGCGTTCACACATCGCCGGCTGGATTTCATGCCAACAGTGGTCATGGTTTATTAACAACGCTCAGAAACCAATGGTTGGTTATTGCAGTGCGGCTTCTAACCGTTGAATGGCATTCCAAACTATGAAGCACTCGTGACCCGATCCGCTCCTCCCTGACCCCGTCCTCTCCTCCGTTACACCCATAACCCCGTTCGCTCCTCCATTACACCCGTGACCCCGTCCGTTTCTCCACTACGCCCATGAACCCGTCCCCTCCTCTGTGACACCCGTGTCTTGTCCGTTTCTCCACTGCGGTCGTGAACCCGTCCCCTCCTCCGCTACACCCGTTACCCCGTCCGGTCCTCCGTTACACCCGGTACCCTGTCCGGTCCTCCGTTACATACGTTACCCCGTCCGCTCCTCCGTGACACCCGTGACCCCGCCCACTCCTCCGTGACCCCATCTGCCTTTCTTTGACGTCGCCACCCGCCGCAGGATGATGGACGGCAACGAGATTCACTCGTCGGAGAACTACGTAATCCAGCAGGACGGCCACCGGTACCGGCTCATCATCCCCCGCGTCCGGTACGAGGACGCCGGCCAGTACCGGCTCACGCTCAAGAACCGCATGGGCGAGGTCACCGAGCAGTGCAAACTCATCGTCAAACGTGAGTCTATGGGAGGTCTGCAGGCTGGGATCTGCTCGAGTGCTCAGGCGCAAACTCGTGTGGTTGTCGTGTCGGCCGGGAGATGGCATTACCGGCAGTCGCGTGTAGCGATGGTTGGATATACCAAGGGGACAGTGCGCCTCTTCCTGCAAGGAAATTCTGCGCCATGCCGTGTAGCTGCGGCAGTATGCTGACTTTTCTCTGGGTGCGTCGCTAGTAGCGACACGTTGTCTGTTCTGCGACGATGGGGCCTGGCGTGCGCTAATATTAAGACGTGTCTGTTGCCCAGATGATGATTGATATAGAGCGCATCGGCTTTCTACTGGCCCGATACGGTGCGAGAGGCGCTGTGAATACGGTTATCTCGCCCCATTCTTTGGCGCATTGCTTGCTGGGTCGCTGTCGCAAAAACCTGTATGACCAAGCTGATCCGTTACTACGTGAGGAAAGCAGTGAGTCATGACCTCATGAAATCCCCCCCCCCCCCGGAGAATATGTCATTGTTTTCCAGTGATGCTGGTGGTGTCATGTGTCAGTGTCAGTGTCATTCATGCGTGGCGTGCTCACCGACAGCTCTGAGTGACCTGAAAGAGCCCCACTTCTTCACCCACCTGGTGGACAACGTCAAGCACAAGGGCGAAGAGACGGTCATGAGCGTGGAGATCCGAGGACAGCCTCAGCCCGAGATCCGCTGGTGCGTGGACATAAACACGGCGCACATCAGACTGCGCGCTGTCTCCCTCTTGCTCATATTGCCGTCGTCCTGAGTCCTGTTTAAGGTCCAGGAGCTTCTGCAGGTGCAGGGAAGCAATATCTCAAGTAACTGGTGACGCAATGAGCTGTCCATGACGAAGCACTATGAATGGTTAGCAAACGTCAAAACGCAGGTGCCCCGGACAGTTTTTTTGCTTTGCTGGAAATGTGTTGGTTGCTAAATCCCCGTTTGAAGCAGGCGTGTACACCAGGGCGTGTTGCCTCCCCAGGTACAAGGACGGTGTCGAGCTGGCGCCGGACACCAACATCATGATGACTCAGGACGTGGACACGTGTGTGTACACGCTCAAGATCCGTCGCACGTCCGACGACGACATGGGCCTGTACACCTGCAAGGCCATCAACGAACACGGCGAGGCCTCAGAGGAGGTGAGTGGCCGCCTGTCGTTCTCCTCGCTGCCCGCGCGCCGTCGCGCGATGAGGGTTGGGCGTTTTCCGAGGGGGCTCGGTCGGTAATGCGGCTAGGCAGTTTTTTGTGTGGGACCGCTTTGCGCCCTCAAGGTAATGATAAGTAAAGCCGTTCGAACGGTGGCTAACGAACGCCGGTATCGACTCAATGGTCGGCCTGCTGGTAGTGACTAGTCCTCCTTCCATGTTGTGCGAGTGCGATCACGTGACCGGCTGTGCTGTGCGCTGCTGCTTCTGACCGCCATCGTCCTTCGCGGCGTCTCCAGTCACGTCTGGAGGTGCTCTTCAAGCCGGAGATATCAGGCCTGCGCGAGATCGCCGTCGTCCCCGGCGAGAAGGCCGTCTTCCACGCCACGGTCAAGGCCAACCCCAAGTGCCGGCTCAAGTGGTGAGTCTGCCTCGAGCCGCCGGCGTCACAGCCTCCCGTCGGCAGCTCCGCGTTAATTTGGGGCTCTAGCTCCCGCTCTCTAGAACAGGAGCTGGAGCCCCCAGTGATTGCCGATTGTCGGAAAGATTGTCGCCTACGACAATCGTTCTCGTAAGGGACCCAGTGAACTAGCCTAGGGACTGTAAGGAAAGTTACCACCACATGCCAACGCTGACGGGCTGAAGCGAACACCATGCCTTGCAGACTATTGACAAGCATCGTGTTCGACTGGTGACGTCACCACACCAGCTGACCACTCCCCCCAGCTCTCCCCCCCCCCCCCCCCGTTCACCCTCCTCCCCCGACCGGCAGGCAACACGACAAGGTGGACGTGAGGCCGACAGACAACGTGCGGGTGGAGACGGACACCGACTGCACGCGCACTACCCTGACGGTGGAGACGGTCGGCATGGTGGACGGCGGCGTCTACAGCGTGGTGGCCGACAACGTGCACGGCGAGACGACGGGCAGCGGCGTGCTCCTGCTGCGCAGTCAGTGACGGGACGGCCGGGGCGCACCGATGGGGGGGGGGGGGGGGGATGTGGAGCGGAAGGCTCTCCCGTGCTCAGTTGGCTTTTGGTGTTGGATGGTTGGATGTGTGAGTGAGTGAGTGAGCGAGTGAGTGCGTGAAAGTGTCGGTACGAGGGATACTTATGAACATGCCTGTTAGACGGCTACCTGTGAAGCTGTCATCAACGTATTGTTATATTAACGCTCACTGTGAATATAAGATCCGTCGTATCAAACCTTTCACCATCTCAGGAGTTTTGCAATGAGGTATAAGTCACATATTTAAGCCGTGGGACCGAATACGGGCGGGGCGTTTTGATACTTGTCAGGAACAACGGTGCGTGGCATACCTCCATGGACCGCGATGTTTCGACACCGTCGTGACACCGGCGATGGCACGCGCTGGTGTCCGTCCCTGACACCGCTGCTGACCGACCGACAGCGGCCGTGCCGACCTTCAAGAAGCGCCTGCTGAACACCGGCGCGCGGCTCGGCCAGAAGCTGCTGCTGGAGACGGTGGTGGTCGGCCTGCCGGTGCCCGACGTCACCTGGTTCAAGGACGACAAGCCGCTGACGGTGCAGCGGCTGGACGAGCAGACGTTCCGCTTCGAGGTGGACGAGGTCACGTCGCCCGACTACGGCGCCGTGAGTGGAGTGTTGGATCATCACCGTCTTCCCGTGGTCTGGAGGGGGAGGGGGCGAGGTGGCCGGCGTGAGGTCTCATGGAATGGAATGTGTGCGGAAGTAATACGCACAGGCGGAACGAACTGGTACCCACTCTCTGTAAAGTTCTGGGAAAGTTAAGAAGGATAAGAAAGGTTTTGAATTGGAAGGGTTAAATCCCCTTCCATGGGCTTGTTGAAAAATTGGCATGGCGTTATAAGTCAAGAACATTCAGCTGTGATCACTGCTTTCTTTAAGCCCACCAGCTTGCTAGAAATCACGAGCCAATTTTTCACAACTCGTCACGAACTTGAACCACACGACGAGGGGGTGGTCCTCGGTACCGGCGGTCCCAGCATGGAGTGCTCCTTCCGTGCGTGGCAGTACCGCGTGGTGGCCATCAACTGCGTGGGCTCGGCGGAGAGCTCGTGCAAGGTGTCGGAGGAGGTGCTGCCGCCCGTCATCGGCTCCCGGCTGCCCACCTTCTCCAAGAAGGAGGAGGGCGACACGCTGGTGCTGGAGGCCAAGGCCGACGGAAGCCCGGCGCCGGAGATCACCTGGTGAGGGCCGGCCTGGGCGATAATGGGCGAACGGGAGCCGTGTTATTGCAATGTTATGCAAACACGGCCCCCGTGTCTGGACTGTTATGCAATGGAAGACGATGTGGAGTTACGCCTGGGCTTGGTCGCGCGGGTGTGCGACACCTCAAATGCGAGAAGTATTACTTGAAGGTAGCGCAACTCCCTTGCGCGTCATAAAACGGCCATCGTTGTACTCTTGCTGAGATTGCTCCGTTGCTGTCTTGTCCGCCCTTGCTAGTAAAAAAACAGTGGGCCGGGGCTGATGAAAGCTGTCTGAGGCCGTGCAGTGATCTAGTGGTTCACATCCCAGCCATACAGCCCGTGGAGACCGTTTGCAGTCACGCAGACTGAGAATGCGTCCTCCGGGAGCGGTGGGTGACCAGTGTGCCCCCCCCCCCCCCCCCTCCATCAATTTAGTGGCCTGCGCGCGCCGTGCGCCCCCAGAATCCACACCCTTCACCCCGCTTCAGGTACAAGGACGGCGAACCCCTGGGCCCGTCGGACCGCGTGCGGCTGGAGCGGCTGGACGACGGCACGGTCCGGCTCACGGTGGTGGACCTCCGGCCGGAGGATGCCGGGCGGTACCGCATGGTCGCCTCCAACGGCAACGGCGACGCCAGCACCGAGTCGGCCGTCACCGTGGACCGTGAGCGCCAGCCAGCCGGCCGGGCGGCACGTCGCGTGACGGGATCTAGCGGGACGGTTAGGTGGCGGGTTAGGGGCAGCGGGTTAACCCAGATCCGCCACCAGCGGGACAGCAGGTGGCGGATCTGGGTTAGGTGGCGTAACTTTGGGTGCGGGAGGGGGGGGGGGGGAGGGTAAGGGATGGGCCCCATTGCCAGCTGTGTCCCCGGAAACTGGAGAAATCGAGACGTGTGAAAGCAAACGATATGCAGTCAACTGTTGGCTTGTTCATCTCAGGAAGTAGGCAGGAGTTGATAACGCTAACAACGCAGGAGTTACCTTGTCTTAGTGGTAGGACCTCTGTCCTGGCTATCCAATAGCGTGCTCTGCTTCGGCTATAGCGCATACCGCATCCAAACTACCGAGTTTCCTACTAAGTAATACCCACTAATAATCCTTCCTACCTACTAATAAGTCGGCCTGCCTGACTGACGCTCCTGCTGGTTCAAGTCCTTTGCCGGCCATCGTCTGATCAGCTGATCATCGGCGCGCGTTCCCCAGGTGTGCCGCGGAAGCCACGCTTCGACCAGACCATGGGCGACGTCACCGTGACCGAGGGCAAGCCGCTCAAGCTGGAGGCCAGGGTCACTGGCTACCCGCGGCCCGTGCTCAAATGGTGCGTCCGAGGCGGGCGGCTCGTGTGGGCGTCACCACGCCCGCTCCGTGGGGATTCAGGTCCGCCGGGCCGGCGAGGACACCCGCACTGTGTGGTCGTGTGTGGCTGACTGCAGTGAAGCATGCGATCATGGCTGACAAACGGGTCGCTGCTCATACTTGCAACAGATCGTTCGTGATTTGCACGTGAACTTTTTGGGATGAGGGTTTCTGTGTGCGTTGGACACCATCCACACAGTCACAACTGGCACGTCCAAGTCGGCGACGGCCGCGCGCCTGCCATTGCGCGAGCGTGGACGCCGGTGGAGCCGGGGTCCTGTCCTGGAGAGGGTCCCGAGAGCCCGGCCGCGTGCAGCCGCCCCGCGCCAAGTGCCGGCTGACTGCGCCGGTCTGCGCCCCGAGCGACTGGCCGGCCCGGCAGCGCATGCCCGCGACGTCCACCGCGTCCCTGGTCCGCCTGGCGTCGGGCCAGCCGGCGGCCGGTCACGCTCTCACGCTTGCCCCCCCCCCCCCCCCCCCCCTCCGTCGTCAGGCTGAAGAACGGACGCCCGCTGCACGGCTCCGAACACATCTCCATCACCACCACGCCGCAGGGCACCACCATCATGGAGATCGAGAAGGCGGGACCAGAGGACGCCGGAACCTACTCCGTGCTCGCCGTCAGCGACCTCGGAGACGCCTCCATCGACGCCGACGTCACCGTTGAACGTGAGTGTGACGTCACCGTCGAGCGCGGGTGTCTGACGTCATTGCAGCATGTGTGTGTAGGCACGACGTCATGATTATGGCGTCTCTGTAAACACTTGTTTGAAGTTGAAGTATCTTTGTCACCGAGCAACTGACTGATGAGATTATCATATTTTTATCTGCTCTTTAGTTCTAGTGTTTGTGTTGCATGCCGTCCAGTTCACGTCCATTGCATCTTCGTGCCGATGGCCAAAGGTGTCCTACCACTTATCGTGTCTTGCTTTTTTGTCTTTGTATTGGCTTGAAACATTCAGGCACTGAGCCCGTGGCACTGTCCTCGATTCCTAGTGAGTGTGTTGGCTGTGGTTGCAGAATTCTTGAGCCCAACCTGTAAGGTCACGTATGGTGAGTTTGGCAAGCAGCCTGTGAAAAACTTCGGCTGTACTGAATTCGGCCTGGCTTGCACATACGGGGAGCGACTCCTGACCTTTTCCACCGAGTCGTGCCAATTTCGCAACGGGTTCTTTATATACGCCACAGGACGGCGCTGCTTTCTGCATTTTTTTCTAATGTGATGTCATTGGTTGTACATACTTACGTGACCATGATGCTGGACATTTGAAGCGATTTGGTGCCGGATGGTCTGAACATGCGGACTGATGTGGTGCTCGCAAGTGTGATGACGGCCGTCAACGCGCGCCCTGACGATGCCCGTCAATGCCTGTTGGCTTGTCCGACCGGCGAATTACGCCAGCGTTGTCGACGTTTTGCCAATAGCAAGTTTTACGTTGGTGTGGTGGTTTCGGCGCGATGATTCATGGCACACAGTTTAAAGTCGAATTGGGCAATCGTAATTTCAATCTTTCTTCATCGATGACCTTGTTTGTTCCTATGAAGTCTTGGAATAAGGACACGGTGACACAGGACTTGGCCTGTGTTGGCGTAGGTCATGCAACTGCTCCTTCGAGCACGGAAACAATACTAACATTAGCAAGTGCAAGAGCGACAAGTTGAGGGGACTGCATGTGGGTATAGATATGGCGGGATGCTGAGGCCATAACCCCCTCGAGCTATGGCGTTTAGATCAGCACCAGGTCAAGGGTTGGCTAGCTTGAAGAACAACATGTGTGGCTGACGGCTGTTGGCGCGGCGCATACGGATGGGCTGGGCTGTAGGAATCATTCTTGTACCACTCTCAGAAATACGTGTTCGCGGTGGACGATGTTGAGGCACGAGTGCAACACGCCAGATTGGCGGGTGGCGCAGTTTAGTCTTTTTTCATTTCCATACGTTTCTGAACATGAAATGATTGGGCTCATTTAGATTTTGTATGGTTGGTAATATCTGCCCACGGTAGTCAGTCAAGTTGTACATAAAATCTGGTGGCCACGGTAATGCATCACACACTGCTCGCCATTCTGCGTGTTTGTTTAAATGACCAAGCCTGATGTCTACTTTAAGCAGAAGTTCGTTGATCATGCGACCGCTAAGAATGTCAGATATGGAGCACCGTGGCATGCGCTGACTGTTGTGTGGACTTCACCGAGATACCTGCACATGTGGCAGCGCGTGGTGCCGGCTGTGGCGTCCACACCAGTCCCTTTCTCTCGGTGTCGGGGAGTCCACCGCTGGCGGTTGCTCTGTCATCAGACCCCTCCCCTCTGACCTCTGACCCCCCCCCCCCGCCAGCGCCGCACCGCAAGCCGCTGATGCAGGACACGTTCCGCCCGGTGCGCGCCGTGGAGGGCTACCCGGCGCGCATCGAAGGCAAGGTGTCGGGATACCCGCCGCCCACCGTCGCCTGGTTCAAGGACGGCCAGCCGTTGAGCCCGGCCGACGGCGTGCGGCCCTACCTGCTGCCCGACGGCACGTTCGGGCTCGAGTTCGACGCCTGCCGGCCGGCCGACTCGGGCCGGTACACTGCCAAGATCTCCAACCCCGAGGGCGAGGCCGAGGCGGAGACCAAGCTCGACGTCATAGGTACGGTGTCCGGCGCTCGGGCAGGGGCGTGCGCGGGAAGGCGGTATGAATGGTTTGAATGGAATGGGAGAGAGAGATTGTTCCCAGCTACTGCGAACAAACACGTGTACTCTTCCGAACCGGGCCGACTTATAGCATTACGGGGTCGCCTCTAAGGATGACCCGAGGTGAAGGACATCTTGTACGAGAATGGCTCCCCGGCTATTCCCTGGGGACAGAGAGGTCACTGGGGAGTGGTATGTGCACCGCTGCAGAATTTGTTATCAGTTGCATAATCTCAAGGTGCTGATGCCATTAACCGACCAAAGCAACGAACGGTCGTCCCGGTGTCAGTGCTTGCCTTTCGAACCTCGTGTCGACTGGGGGTGTTTGTGACGATCCTTAAACGAACGGACGGCCTGTGGCATGGTGGCTCCCAGTTAACTACGCGTGTCGTCGCAATCGGAGTCGAATGGACTGGTCAGTTCCTCCGACCACCTTTTCCCTCTCAGCGTCTGCCGTTCCATTCCCACTCACTGCCTGCTGCCCGCCCCTCTGACCTACTGCCCCGCCTTTCTGACCGCCCGCTGCCCTCCCCCTCCTGTCAGATGGCCCGCCGTTCCGCCCCTCTGACCTACTGCCCCGCCCTTCTGACCGCCCGCTGCCCTCCCCCTCCCGTCAGATGGCCCGCCGTTCCGCCCCACTGACCTACTGCCCCGCCTTTCTGACCGCCCGCCGCCCCATCCCCTGCAGGCAAGCAGCGGCCGGGCGAGGACAGCGCGCCCGCCTTTACCTGTCCGCTGCGGGACTCGGAGGTGAATGAGGGCAGCGTGCTGCTGCTGACGGCCGACGTGACGGGCAACCCGCTGCCGGACGTCACATGGACACGTGACGGCGAGCCGCTGCCCCGTCACGAGCGGCTCTTCACCAGCTACGACGGCGATAAGGTGGGCAGGTGGAACTGCCGTCCGGGGGGGGGGGGGGGGGGCAGGAGGGGGATGTCAGACGGCGTCCGTCACGGAGACAGCGTGTCGGTGGAAACAGGGGTTGGCGAGAGGCCAGCCAGACATAAGATCGGGATAGGGCGGATTTTGAAGCCTGAGTGAGCAGGGCATGGGCTGATGTGGGCTGGATTTCACGGATCATGATCATCACGCAGCTGACTACGCTGAGAGATGGGAAGGACGACAGACAGCACTGTGGGTCAGTCTCATACGATACCTTACAGCAGATGCTTGACGGAACACGAAATCTTGTCGTATAATGACGGGCTAACGTTACGCATAGGGAATCAGATCATCACGAGTAAGCGCCGTCGTGTCCGGAATCGCCCCGAGTGATTAGCGATCGGACACGTCACCCTCAGCGCCACCAGCGCCCGCTTACCGCTGACCGCTGATCTCTGACCTCTGAGCTGATGGCTGACCTGTGGCCGCTGACCACTGATCGCTGACCTCTGACCGCTGATCTTTGACCGCTGACCGCTGATCTCTGACCTCTGACCGCTGACCGCTGGCCACTGATCGCTAGCCACTGATCGCTGACCACTGACCTCTGACCCCTGACCTCTGACCCCTGACCTCTGACCTCGCCCTTGCCCTCGGTTCACAGCTGACGCTGATGCTGCGGCCGGCCCGGGTGGCCGACGCCGGCAAGTACCGCGTGGTGCTGACCAGCCCGCGGGGGCAGGCCGACTCGGCCGCCGACGTCCGCGTCAAGAAGACCTACGTGGCGCCGCACTTCCCGCAGAAGATCACCGACCTGCAGCAGGTCAGCCGCGGCGGCGGTCACGCTGGGGTCGGGGACGGGTCTGTGGGGGATGACTGGTCTGTGGGGACTGACTGGTGGTGGACGCGGCCTGCAGTCTGCGGATCCGACGTTGTGGTCTGTCAGTGGAAGTAGTTTGCCTTGCTTATGTGCCTGACGCCATGCGCCTGCGTCATGACGGATTTTTCCAAATCGTGACTGTTAAAAATGTGTGGTTTTCGCGCTGGCATACATCGTTGGATTCTTTCTGCGCTATCTGTAGCATCCGAAGGCTTGTGGATCTCCAATTCAGTCCGTGGTAACGTACACCAAAACAGTTAGAACGGGCAAGTGCGGAAGCGGGAGAGGACTTGAGCTGTTTGCCAAGCGCCGGCGTACACGGCACCGCTGTCGGCCGATCTGCACTGCGCCGTCACTGCACTGCTCCCCGTCCCTGCGCTGCGCCGTCACGGCACCGCTCCCTGCCCCCACGCCGCGCCGTCACGGCACCGCTCCCCGCCTCTGCGCCGCGCCGTCACCGCACTGCTCCCTGTCCCTACGCTGCGCCGTCACCGCACCGCTCCCGCCCCTCCCCAGATGCCCAAGTACGACGCCAAGTTCATGGGCCGTGTAATCGGCATCCCGCGGCCGGACGTCGAGTGGTTCTTCAACGACAAGCCGTTGCGGCCGTCGGCCAAGTACAAGGTGAAGCGCGACGCCGACATGTGCGCGCTGTACGTGCTGGACTGCACGCCCGAGGACGCCGGCGTCTACAGCTGCGTCGCCAGCAACGCCGACGGCTCGGCCAAGTGCTCCGCCACCCTCGAGGTGGTGGACCACATGTGAGTGGGTGGCGACGGCGGGGAGCGGCCCCTGCCGGGTTGCGCACGCTCGGTGGAAGTGGGTTCAGTGGTAGGTTGCGTGACACCCCACTCGATCGTGCGGGAGACCAGCAGTGGGTTAAGGCTGTGAAGGTACCGCTTGGTGGTGGGTAGTGGGTAGTCTTCGTTTGGACACATGGGCGCTGACAAAAACATCGCCGATGAACAGAAATGCCTTGTGCTCGATCTAACTGCTCGCAGTCGTTGAATGGTTACCGTTTTTCCAGTCTTGTATCTGATCTTTGTAATCTCGCTCGCGGCCACACTGCGTAAATTTCCCTTAGCAATCTGCAGGCATTCCTGTCAAGATTGTTTGATTGCCACTGTCATTTGCACCGGGGCTCTATCGTGGCATCCCCCCTCCCCCGTCACCATTTCCCGCCGTTCTGACGGCCGGCTCCGTCCCGGGCAGTGTGCGCCGGCCGAAGCCGGAGCCGCCCTACTTCCTGAAGACTATCGGCGACTGCGAGGTGTTCCCCGGCATGCAGGGCAAGTTCACGGCCTGCGTGGCCGGCACGCCCGAGCCCGACTTCGAGTGGTACAGGGACGACATGCGCATGTACCCCAGGTACGCGCGGCGCCGGCGCCGGCCGCCTCGAACACGCCCCGCTGCGCGACGTGCTTAGACTGACACTAACTGCCGGCTGCTGCTATTTCGTGGGCATTTCCAGCTGTGCTTTCAGCAGGCAAGATTGTCTTAGGTGATGATGTAAAACGCTGTGTTACTGATGTGCAAGTTTTGGAGGCAGGTGTTTTCCATGATATCGCATTTACTGATAGTGTCCTGATTGTGCGTAGCGATAAATGGCTGGGACCCCACCGTGTGATCCGGTGGGGTGGTTCGGCCCGGGCTATTGCTGGAGGGCGACTCGGCCCCTCAGCCACCGTTCCGGTTCCCAGTGACCGTATCCTGATGGAAGCGGACGGATCCGGTCTGATCCGGCTCATCATCAAACACGCCGACGAGGGCGACGCAGGCCGCTACAAGCTGAAGATCTTCAACACGCACGGCGAGGCTGCCTGCGAATCCGAGCTCTCCTACGACAGTGCGTGCCCCCCCCCCCCCCCTTCTTCCGAGAGGTCGCAGGCGCGGTATTTTCAGATGGGAGGGAGGCGAACAAGATGTTGCCAGTGTGTCTGCTAAGGAGTTTTTTGTTTGCCCCCTGCCGTTGTCCGGTTCGTGCGTTTTCCGCAGGAGTACCGGGGCGTGAATCTCTCAGTGCCCCACTGTGTCGTATTCTCATTACGCTCTGTCGCCTCTTGAACTGTGCTACACAACGTCAACATCATTCCGCCCAGAGGTTCCATGTTGCGCTGCTTTGGCCGGCTCGGTGTCCCTCTCGCTGTGCCCAGTATTTGTACCGGCGGTGACGCCGTCCGGACCGTTCGCAGCCTTCGACAGCGGGCCGTCCAAGAACCTGAAGGACCAGTACGGCGCCCTGGAGCAGCAGCTCAAGTCTGGTGTGCCCATGCCGCTCTCGGATCGACCCATCATATCCAGGTCAGCTCGCGTCCGTCATATCCAGATCAGCTCGCTCCCGTCATATCGAGGTCAGCTCGGTACCATCATATCCGGTTCAGCTCGCTCCCGTAATATCCAGGTCAGCTCGGTCCTGTCATCCGGGTTAGCTCGCTCCCGTCATATACAGGTCAGCTCGCTCCCGTCATATCCAATTCAGCTCGCTCCCGTCATATCCTGGTCAGCTCGGTACCGTCATATCCGGGTCAGCCAAATGACCAATGGCGTTATTTCCCGTCCTATCCAGGGCAGCAGCGACTCACTATCCAACCGCCCAGTCATATCCTCTGCGATGTCAGCGGATATGATCTTTTGCCGTCACTGCCGGCCAGCGCGACGTTTTTTTTCCGAGGCTGCCTGGCTGCGTGACCGTTCGAGGTGCGACCGCTTGCGTATTTCTGGGAGTGGCGTATCTCTCGCTGGTGTTGGATGGGATCGGGGCGCAGCTGCCGCTTTTCCTGTGTCGGTGTGTGATCCATACCCGCCTACCGACGTTCTCACCTGCGGTCTGACAAGTACACACCGAGTGCCGATTGCATACTGAGTACCGAGTACACACCGAGTGCCGAGTACGCACCAAGTCGGCGAGTACACGCTGAGTGCCGAGTGCACACCGAGTTGCCTGGCCTCAGGGTTTGCAAAATCGCCGAAAGCGCACCGTGGTCACAGAGCCTACACAAGAGTCAATGCCCGTTTCGCTACATCATCTATATCCATGCCAGGATTTGCTGTCAACACCCCTACAGCGACTGGTTCCCACCTGGCGTCCCACAACGCATTACCACCACCTCCTGCCGTAACTGTGACGGCGACGGTGACGCTGGTGCCAGCGCCACGTCTGGTGATGACGTCTGACGGCCCGCTCCGCCGCCAGGATGACGGACCGTCAGCTGACGCTGTCGTGGCGGCCGTCACCGACCGCCGGCCAGAGGATCCCCGTCACCTATCACGTGGAGATGGCGGAGGTGCCGCGCGGAGATTGGTTTACCGTCCGTTCAGGTGGGCACGAGGCGGCGCCGGCGGTGCTCTCGTAGTGACGTCCTCCATTGACGGCACCGGCGCTGGCTACCGTTGGGATTTGTGACCGACACCAGCCGTTGCGTAAGGACTGTGGGGATCGCCTTCCCGGCATCACGAATAGACACAGCATATTTATCCCACCATTTCCGGACGCTACTTCGCTTTAAGTGTGGCACTGCCCCCGCGATATGAAGGAGGCGAAGTGTTCCTCGCATGACGTCTGCAGCCAAGCAATGAGCGAGGTCTGCAACCTGCAACCGTCTGCAACGAACGAGATGTTCCTCGCAAATCGTCTGCAACCACGTGTCCCTCGACCCGTGGCGACAAGTGCTCCTGCTAACCACGACATCGTCGTTCAGGTGTGCGCGGGTGCTCGGTCGAGATCCGCAATCTGGAGCCCCACCGCGACTACAAGTTCCGCATCAAGGTGGAGAACAAGTACGGCGTGAGCGAGCCTTCGCCTCACATCACCACGCAGAGGTGAGTCTGATCGATCGCCACCCGGACGAGGTGTGACGTCTGTGAACGTACGTGCCCGCCCACTGGTTAACATCGGGAACACCACGCTGGATGGCCCATCGTCCGCGTTGAGAACTGCACCGAGACCGTAGCCACAATCTGTTGGAAATCGTGCCCGAACTGCATCACCCGCGCGCCGTGGACATGACAGGGGCTATGCGCTGCAAAAGGTGGACGCAGTTTCCGTAATGTGCGTCGGTGTGGAGAGAGACAGCTCTACCATCGCCCGCCCGGGCAGTAGCTGTCCCGGTCTCTGACGCCCCGTCCCCTGGCAGAGAGCGGCTGGTGCCCGAGCCGCCGGAGTCGGGCTCGTACCCGCCCGGCCTCTGACACCCCCTCCCCCTCCTCCGGGTAGTGAGCGGCTGATACCCGAGCCGGCGGGGTCGGGCCCGTACATACCCGGCCTCTGACGCCCTCTCTCCCTACCCCTGGCAGAGAGCGGCTGGTACCCGAGCCGCCGGAGTCGGGCCCCTACCTGCCCGGCCCCTGACGCCCCCTCCCCTCCCCCTGGCAGAGAGCGGCTGGTACCCAAGCCGCCAACGTCGGGCTCGTACCCGCCCGGCCTCTGACACCCCCTCCCCCTGACAGAGAGCGGCTGGTGCCCGAGTCGCTGGAGTCGGGCCAGTACCTGCCCGGCCTCTGACGCCTCCTCCCCTCCCCCTGGCAGAGAGCGGCTGGTACCCGAGCCGCCGGAGTCGGGCCCCTACCTGCCCGGCCTCTGACACCCCCTCCCCCTGACAGAGAGCGGCTGGTGCCCGTGGCGCCGGAGTCGGGTCCCTACCCGCCCGGCCTCTGACGCCCCCTCCCCCTGACAGAGAGCGGCTGGTGCCCGAGCCGCCGGAGTCGGGCCCCTACCTGCCCGGCCTCTGACACCCCCTCCCCCTGACAGAGAGCGGCTGGTGCCCGAGCCGCCGGAGTCGGGCCCCTACCTGCCCGGCCTCTGACGCCCCCTCCCCTGACAGGGAGCGGCTGGTGCCCGAGCCGCCGGAGTCGGGCCCCTACCTGCCCGACGGCGAGCAGTTCAAGCCGGACATCTCCTCCTACTTCCCGCGCGACTTCGACATGGAGAAGTGGGCAGGAGGGCGCGCCCATCCGCCCACGTAAGTCACGGTGTGACATCACCTAACCTCCGTGTGCGGCATGCTGCGTGGAGAACGTCTTTGAATGACGTCACGTATTTGTTTTTGACGAAATATGGTTGTCTAATTTTCTAACGGGTTCGTCTTTTTATGTTTGTTCAATGACAGGTTTTAATTGCTTGGCGTGAGCTGTCCGGTACCTGTTTAATGAAAGCCCTAATGATCCGACGTAAGGTGTGCAATTTGGGTATGAATGTGCCCTAATAGTGTGACATGAACTGACAATGTTTCGCCAATTTTACCAAGGCATATTTTATTAACTGCATCGTGTAACATGGTGTGACCACTAACTGGTCCGTTGTCCGAACCACCGCCTGCGCCCGCGCCCCGGTCCGCCGGCCCCTGACCCTCCCGCCGACCCCCCTGACCCGCCTCGCCGCCGCGACAGCTCTCCGCTGAGCCTGCAGTACGGCACGGCCGTGCGGCGCCACTACCGCGCCGTCGAGCCGGGCGAGGAGCGCGCACCGCGGCCGGCGCGCGCCGCCGACGCGCCGGACGGCGGCCCGCCGCGCGCCGGCCGACGTCGGGCCCGTCTCGCACGTGGTGGAGCGGCTGCTGGTGCGGCGCCAGGTGGAGGAGGCCGGTCGGCTCGCCGAGCGCTGCGCCGGCCTGCACGGCTCGTCGCGGCCGGCGCGGGCGGCGCGCGCCGCGCGCCACCTGGAGACGGTGCGTCGCCGACGCCGCGCGCTCTCCGAGATCACCAACGAGGAGGTGGACGCGCCGGTGCCGCGCGCCGAGGAGCGTCTCTCTCCGCGTCGCGACTGGGAGGGCGAGTTCGAGAAGATGGTGACGCACGGGGGCGCGGCCCTGCGCGGCTGCTGCGACATCGACGCCTGGGAGAGCAGGTTCATGGACCACGACTGAGCGGCGGCGCTGGCGAGGGCGGCGCGCTGCGACGCCTCCGGGAGCGTTGGCTAGGGTGTGGGAGGATGGCCACTAGGCGGAGAGGGGCTGGCAGTCTGGTGTCCGTGCTCTCGTCGGAGCACTTGTGTGGTGTGAATGGAGTTCGTTTTGGCATACGTGTGGGTGTTCCTTTGCAATGCGCTACAATGCAATCTTAGATAGTTTCCAGGTTTGTGCCGTCTTCTTTTCTGAGTGCGACGAGTTAGATGCCTTTACACAATGTCAAACAATGTCCTTACCCATGAGAATACTCCTTTCTGTTGTGGATGAAAATGGAGCTCGTTTTAGCGTGCGTGAGGTGTTCTTTTGCAATGCGCTACAATGCAATCTTCGATAGACTCCAGACTTCTGTCGTCGTCTTCTTTCCTGAGCATGACGCGTCAAATAGTTCTAACAAAGCTCTGGCCCATTGTCAACGTGTAGAAGTTCTTTATTGAATTCATGGGAGGTGGGGTTAACGTCGTGTGATGTCTCCGTTGATAATCTGGCACCGTTGGAGGTCGTTCTGCTGTTTCAAACCCCTTCCCGCGTGCCTGGTCGCGGCCTGCGTGTTTGCGTGCCTCACTACTAACACCGACTCACAACGCTCTGTGAATAAACCTCGGCCCGGATTTGTGAACGCCTCCGCTCGTCGTTGCGTGTCTGGCGCCCGATTCTGGCGTGCTTGACCGGCCCGCCCAGCCGATTCTGCCGTTCGGCTCTGGTCGGCGGCAGTCTGCCCTCATTCTTTTCTCTCCAGCTGCCACGAGGTACGAGCAATGGTGCCGTTCGCTGCAGCTTCCCGCTTCCGCCGTGTTTTGTTCGCTTCGCTCTTCAGCATGGCTTCAGGTCCTGCAGAGCTTCGGCGAGGCTGGAGCTCTGCTGTCGTCGCTCGCATTCTACGCCCGACTGGCACCTAGGCGGCAGTGTTCTCCCCGGTCTTCTGTGTGTCCACCTGAGTTGTACGGGGGAGTGTCTGCTTCTGACTGTTGGCGTCTCGGTTCTAGCGCAGTAGGTAGCGGCCGTCAGGTGCTGTCGGGCTCGGCAATGGTCGGTGTTGTGAGCGCGCCTTCCCCGCTTCTGCTGCGCTCTAGTGGAGCGTACTTGCCGTGACTTGCTCTGCTTCTTGGTGGCACGCCCAGCGTTTGGTAGTCCGCTCTAGTCGGCGAGTATCGTTGTGTGGCAGGTGTCTCTGATCGTACGTATAAGAGCTGTGCGAGGAGATGCTGCGCTTGTCGTGTGTAGACAGCGGCTGATACTGGAATAGCTGAGCGGGTGGCCTCTGTAGTTGCGAGCGTTCGATGATACGTGACTAGACAGCACACGTTTCTACCTCACAGCAATGCGACGAATTTCTACCCCACGTTTAACCTCCGACTCTAACTGTACCGACACGGTGTGAACTTGCGCCCCACAACCTAAGCCTGCTCGTGCTCGATCCAGATGTCGCGCCCTTGTCGTGCCCGAGTGCCCGCTCGGTGACCCCCGTCGTGCGGCACCGACGCTGCCGAACGGGCCCCTAACAGCCGTCGACTCGTCCAGGTTCCTGCGCCAGGAGCGCGGCACGCAGTACGGCGTGAAGGGCCACGGCGCCGACCTCAAGTGGTTCGTGTACGGCCACCCCATGCCCGATGTGCGCTTCACCTTCAACGGCGCGGACATAGAGATGGGCGGCCGGTACAGCCACAGCTTCACGCGCGCCGGCGAGCTCACGCTCTTCGTCAACAAGTGAGTGCGCCGGCCGGGAAACTCCCGGAGAGCTGGACACTGGGTGAATGATGTGTTGGAGATGAAGTGCGCTGCTGGCCGACTGTTTCTGGGGCGGGAAGGATATTGTTCAAAAGTGGGCGTTTGGTAGTGTTTTGGGCGTGGAGCTATGATGGGCTCGGAGCGTGATCCACACCCTTTGACGTCCTGTTAGCGTGAGGTCGGACGGTGTGGCCGTTCGATTCCCTCCTGTTCACATTCTAGCGGAGAGACCACATGCGCGCGCCGGTCTCGCCGTCAAATGGCCTGCCGGTTTGGTGCTGTCTGTGCGGCTGACTTCCGTGTGTAATTACCTACCGATCCGCTGCCGCCGCAGCGGAAGTCCACGCTGTCCACAGCTGCCTCTGCCACGGCTGCCTGTCGTGTCTGTCGCGTCTTCCGCTGCCCCCCCCCCCCCCCCCCCCGCGAGCGCCGCACCCCGCCTGACCGCGCCCTCCCGTCGCCAGGATGCTGGAGCGCGACCAGGGCGTGTACGAGGCGATCGTCTCCAACCCGCACGGCGAGGCTCGCCAGCGCGTCACCCTGCACGTGGCCGAGCACCCCCGCTTCACGCACACACCGGAGGAGGCGACCGTCATGCAGCGCGACCAGGCGCGCTTCGAGGCGCGCGTGACAGGCGTGCCGCGCCCGGACATCCGCTGGTACAAGGACTGGCTGCCGCTGGCGCCCTCCGACCGCGTGCGCATCCACTGGAAGGAGCCGGACACGTGCGTGCTGCTCATCAACGGCTGCGTGCCGCGCGACAACGGACTCTACTCCATCAGCGCCACCAACGTGGCCGGCACCACCTCGGCCTCGGTGAGCCAAGCGGGAGGCGCTAGAAGGGCGGGTGCCGCTGTGGCGCTTTTGCGTCGCGGCTGTCTGGGCTGGTGTGGGGAGCGTTTGCAAGGGTTGTCTGTCGTTGCGTAGTCATGGCGGGCGTCGTGGCTCGGCGTCAGCAGCTGTCTTAGGGCGCCGCTTCCCTTCCGGCACGCCGTCTCGCGCTACGTTGCCCCACGTTCTCTCCCTCGGTCTGTTGCTGGCTACTGACGCCCCCCCCCCCCCCCCGGCCCTCCTCAGGCGATGCTGCACGTCGAGTACGACGAGGCCATGTACAACTACATCTCGTACTCGCCGGCGCGCTCCGTGCGGCCGCGCACCAAGGCCTTCGAGGACTTCTACAACGTGGGCGACGAGCTGGGCCGCGGCACTCAGGGCATCACCTACCACGTAGTGGAGCGCAACAACGGTGCGATCACCTCCTCCTCCCTCCCCCCCCCCCCCCCTCGGCCTTCTGTGGGAGGCTGAAAGTCTGCTGCTCAAGCAACGTCCCTCGCTAAGTTGGCGAGGAGCGTTGCCTCAGGTCTCGCGGACGTTTTATTTAAAGTACCCCGCTATGTTTACAGTTGAGGATAGGAAGCTCATTGGCGCTTGCTCTCGCGCAATGGTTGATCCAGCCTGGTTGAAATAGCGTCACTGGTCCGTGGTCATGAGTTGTTCGTTTTCTCAGAATTCAGCCGACGTTTCAAGGTGGTCTGTACGTGAGCTGGAACGATTTGGCACTCATGCCTCTGAAAAGGAAGCTCGGCGCATTGTGTGCGCTTCGCACTCCTGAACACCGCTGTCTCCTCGCTTAGCTAACGAGTCGTTAGTCACCGCGGCAGGGTGTCGTTGGCTTGTCCGGGCCCCTGAAGCCCCCCCCCCCCTTGCCCTCCCCCAGGCCGCAACTTCGCCGCCAAGTGCATGAACGGCAAGGGCGAGCACCGCCAGGCGATGAACAACGAGATGTGGATCATGAACCAGCTGAGCGACCGCCACCTGGTGCGCCTGTACGACGCGTACGAGTCCCCGCGGCAGCTGATCCTGGTGCAGGAGCTGTGCGCCGGCGGGGAGCTGCTGCCTGCGCTCTGCCGCCAGCCGACCTACACCGAGGCCGACATCGCCAGCGTCGTGCGGCAGACGCTCTGGGGTCTGCAGCACATGCACAGCAAGCACATCGGCCACCTCGGGCTCACGGTGAGGGTGGGCGGAGGGCGGAGATCAGCGAGCGACTTGTGACGGTGCGCCACGTGGGGTGTTGGCTTCGTCCGCTGTTTTTTTTTTTTTGTTTTGTTTAGGTCGATGGATGTGTTTCTTTGCTTTATGTTCGTCGTGAGTCTCCAACTCTACAGCTGAAGACTAGTAAGACATTCCGTCTTCTCATTCCGTCGACGTCATTGAACAATTCATCATTGCGTCTTGCTCAGTGTATCCGCGGTTTTGTCGTCATGCATTAGCCATACCTTGACAGCTCGTGCGGATTATAGCCGAGAAATCCCCGTCATGGATCTAGCAGCCTCCCTCGCTCGTGAAATCAAACGTATACCGCGTGATGACTGTGCGTCAGGTGAGATCACAAGCTCACCGCGTGCACGCTTCCCCGTGTTTTTGGTGTGATTGGTCTGTTGCTGCCGCGGCCGAGGCTGACCGGTGCGCCTGCTGCCCCCGCTCCCAGCCTGGCGACATCCTCTTCACCCGGCCCGGCGGCGACGAGATCAAGCTGATCGACTTCAGCTACTCGCGCCACATCAACCCGCAGAAGCCAGAGCGGCTTGACTACGGTGCGTCGTCAGCCCGAGACGGGGGTAAAATGCTGGTGCGGGCCGGGCAAACTATCTCAAAATAAAATAATCAAATTTGAATCTGTCAAGTTTTATGAATCTGGGCATACTGATGTGTATTTTGCATAGGCAACTGATGTGTATTTTGTATCAAGGGAGCCGAAAATGATTCGGATTGCACATGCTGCACATGATGATTGCACTTCACACGTTGGTGCTGGCGGCAGTGAACAGTGTTGTTCCTACCCGTCGCACGTGTGACGTATGCCTGATTTCGTGTCGACCTCGCAGGCATGCCGGAGTTCGTGGCGCCGGAGATCGTGAACAGCGAGTGCGTGGGCCTGCCAGCCGACATCTGGTCGGTGGGCGTCATCACCTACCTCCTGCTGTCCGGAATATCGCCCTTCAGGTCAGCCACGCGGCTCCGCTGCGCTGCTGCCACGCCGTTCAGCCGCAGGCTTCTGTTGGCACGCAGCTTTTTAAAATAATGTTTCTGGTCTAATTATGGATATCAGTACCCAAGTTTGCAAATTAAAGCAAGTGAAGTGGTTTTAACGTGGTGGCAGAAGACTCCTTTATGCAGGCATGAGCACTGCACTTTTCAATAGCTGTCACCGATAACGGTTGTTTCAAATCTGGGCTCAACGCTGAGGGATGAAAAGCAGGACTAGAGCGTAGGGGGAATACTGTCGCACTGAGAGGATTTGTCGTAAGCCTCAGTGATTTGTCAATGCACTCGAGAACATTTTCACTCGCGAACCGCTCCCACGCCGCCGCCTTACGTCATCCAGAGGCGAGAACGACCGCGAGACGCTGAAGAAGATCCAGAGCGGCGAGATGGACTACGACCTGGACGCGTTCTCGGGCGTCTCGGAGGAGGCTAAGGACTTCATCGCCAAGCTGCTGGTGTTCGCGCCCGGCGAGCGCCTGGACGTGCGCAGCGCGCTGAGGCACCCCTGGCTCAAGTTCGCCGACCACGCGCCGCCCACAGTCAAGGATGTCTCCACGGACCGGCTCAAGATCTACCTGGAGAAGTTCAGGTGAGATGGTCTGGAGCAACGGCTACGCGCGGAGGGATCGGCGCGGCCGCCATGGTAGGTGGGCTCTCTGAACAGCTGACGGCGTTCATCGCCGATCATTTACTTTCCCGTGATGGATATTTGCGTTTTGGCATGAGCGCGTGACTGACAGATGGCATCCTAAAAACGCATTTTATCATCTTGGGTGGTGTTTGGTGTTCAAGAGGTGGGTATGTCGAGATCCAACATCCTCCATACGTTTGAGAACACTGCACCGTAGACCTGCCGAGACGCCGTTGTTCTCTCTGCGTGCCTCACATCCCACGGGCGATGTTCGCCAGTCCGCACGCGCCTGCCACCTCCTCGCCAAGGACCGGCGCCGTACCGCGTCACGTGCCGTGCGCCCTGTGCCGTCACGTGCCGCGCGCCCTGTGCCGTCACGTGCCGCGCGCCCTGTGCCGTCACGTGCCGCGCGCCCTGCGCCGCCACGTGCCGCGCGCCCTGTGCCGTCGCTGACGCGCGCCCTGTGCCGTCGCTGACGCGCGCCCTGTGCCATCGCTGACGCGCGCCCCGTGTCGTCGCTGACGCGCGCCTCCTCGCCAGGGACTGGTACCGGAACGCCTCGTGCCGCACGTGGTTCCGCCGGCGGCCGCTCAGCTCTGCGTTCACGCACCCGAGCTGCATGGTGTACCCGCCGGACGTGGTGTACACGCCGCCGCCGTCGCCGGAGCCGACGCGGCGCGTCAAGTGGCAGCCGCCGCGCCTGGAGCCGGACGGACCCGACGGGCACGAGCCCATCGATACGGAGATCGGCTGGGTCGGCACCGAGAGCCAGTGAGTGTAGGGGGGCGGGGGAGGGGGTGCAGAGATCGGCTGGGTCGGCACCGAGAGCCAGTGAGTGTAGGGGAGGAGGGGAGGGGGTGCAGAGATCGGCTGTGTCGGCACCGAGAGCCAGTGAGTGTAGGGGAAGAGGGGAGGGGTACAGAGATCGGCTGGGTCGGCACCGAGAGCCAGTGAGTGTAGGGGGCGGGGGAGGGGCACTGAGGGCTAGGGAGTGTAGGGGAGGGGGGGGGGGGGGGTACAGAAATCGGCTGGATTGCCACCAGGAGCCGGTGAGTACGGGGCAGAGCAGGTGGAGGGTAAGAAGCTATGCCGGTGTTCCGCCGAGAGCCAGCAACTCAGGGAGTGGGGAGGAAGAGACACGGCGGGAAGAGCACTCCATCGCACGCCCGTGATTGACAACGGCTCTTCGAGTTATTGCGTTTGGCGAGGTGGAAAGGGAGTGGCGACATTTGGTGGTCAGAGTTCACGCGCAGACGATTCATCATGATTCGATCATGATCATGATTCAGATCATGATCATGATCAGACGATCATGATTCATGTCCTTTAGGACATGAATCATGGACTTCCTCCGGTGGTTTGGAGCGAGTGGTTTCTCCCCGTGGTAACTGTACTGCGCCTGCTGCCGGTTTGTACCTGACAAGATCACCCCGCATGTTCTCAGACACGTACCTGCGCCCGCTCCACTGACCCCCTGCCGTTCGTCCCCAGCTACCAGCAGGGTCCGGACACGTACCTGCTGCAGCTGCGCGACACGGGTCTGCCGTCCCGTCTGCGCGAGTACATGAAGGTGGCGGCCGAGCGCTCCCCGTCGTACGCCCGGCGCGGCTGCGAGGACCCGCTCTTCGACCGCTCGGTGAGCCGAAATAGCCGCTGGGGGTGGCCGGGGAGGGGGCGCGGCGCTCTGAATCAACACCAGCGTCACTTCTAAACGTAAGAACGCGAACGTAAACGTAAGAACGAACGCGAACGTAAGAAGTGTTCTATCGCCTGCTACAAACCGACGCCGCCGTCTTCGTTTTGCGCTCGGTTGTTCGCATGTGGACGATGTTCTGCAGGCGATTTTTTTCGATCCAGAGAGCGCGGTTGCGCTGCTGTTATTAAAAAACATGCCACAGCAAGCGACTGTTGCGACATTGGGATGCAGTGGAAAGTTCATTCTTCTGAACGTAGAAGCTGCCAGGGCCTTACGCGTCAAGGCGTGACGCGGTAGGTCCTGACATAGGTGGCGCTGGCGCTTACACACTGAAAAGGTGGCGCTAGCGATGTTATATTTACCAGTCTTCCCTCGACCTGCGTGATGCAGTGCGCGGCAGAGATATGTCGGTAGCATTCAGCTGTTCCCCAAAGCAGTGGCCACGTGCCGTTTTTAAGCAGATTTCTTCATTTCACGGCATGACTCTTTTCATACTTTACCCTAGAGGGAGGGTGGTGTGCCCTCCTTCGCTTTGTAAGCCTGCCTGTCCTATCCTGGGCTACTGGAAGGCTCAGCCTTCAGGAGCTTTTATGTCGAACGTAAGTTTCCGACATGTTAAGATATATCACTTAAGTGGTGAAATTAAGCGATAATTGGAGCGCATTTAATTTCAGGGTTGTCTGGAGTTTTGTCATAGTACTCACATATACCTGCTAGATAATGCCCCCACACCTACTCGATAACGTCGTTTAACCATCACATGGTGTATGGAGGGCCAGTTATCATTATGAGCGCCAATAATGCCGAAAATCGAGAGCTGAAGGCCGTTCTTACCTACATGGAGACCACTCAGCCCCATCACCGTCTCCGTTTTCCATTGACCCGCGTACCCCAGCCCCGTCCGTCGGTTATCACCACCCCGCTCGGCCCTCCGCAGCTGCCGATCGTGCACGAGCGGCGCCGCTTCACCGACATCATGGACGAGGAGATCGACGACGAGCGTAAGACGCGCATCAGCCAGTACGACGCCGAGGCGCGGCCGCACGTGCCGCGCCGACTGCGCTACGAGATGGGCACGCGCGCTGACGCCGTCGTCGAGGCCGAGACGCTGCTGGAGCAGCGGCGCGACGGACAGGTGGGCCGCCAGGCGGGCGGCGCCCGGCGGGTCTGGCGGACCGCGGTCTGGAATGGGAGGCAGTGCCCATGGTTGTCGTTGGTGGTCTTTGAGCGACTCTTCGGACAGATAAGAGATGTTCCTGACTCACGTTCCGTAGTTTTCAGGACTGCGCACTGTGTCATTTTGTGGTAAACGGCTGTTGTTTAAAATTGCCAGCGTGGCTTGTGTGCTGTTCTACATTTGCATACTTAGCGCTTTTACTTCGCTACACTTTACCTTGCTTACTCGACTTCCTGAAGGTCCTTTGTCTTCGCTAGTTCCGTAGAAATGCTCGTCTTTGGTACGCTGACGGTGGTCGCCGTTGTCCCGCAGTTCCCGTTCTTCCGCGAGAAGCCGTCGGACACGGCCATCCAGGAGGGGACGCCGTGCGAGATCTCCTGCATGGCCGTCGGAGAGCCCAAGCCAATCGTGCAATGGTTCAGGTGAGACCCTACCTGCCTCCCCATCACCAGCTGCTCCTTCCCCAGCTGCTCCCTCTACCCCCCCCCCCCCCCCCCCCCCCCCCCCCCCCCCCCCCCCCCCCCCCCCCCCCCCCCCCAGCTGTTCCCTCTCCCCCCAGTTGCATCCCCGGCTGCTCTCCAGCGATGCCCGTTCCATATGAGCTATATCGTGAGCCACTGTCAAGCACGAAAGTAGCTTATCTGCGACGCGCAGCGCATGGTAATCCTGCACCCTGACCTAGCGATTTCGCCTTGTCCACATACGTGCCACGTCAGCAACAACCCCGTCCGCTTCGACAGGAATGACATCGTGATCGGCGAGACGAAGCGGATCAAGATGGTGGAGGAGGACAACGGCCGGTCGCGGCTTCGCTTCGAGCCGGCGATGGACTTCGACCAGGGCGTCTACAAGGTGGTGGCGCGCAACAGCGTCGGCCAGACCGTCACCAAGTGCCGGTGAGGGGTGCACGCCGCCGTCGGACGGTGTTGAGGGTGGCAATGCCGGATTCAGCTCATGCCGCTCAGCAGCGAACGCCGCCGATGGAGTATTAAGCTTGTACTCTGCCGTCCTAGAGATGCGCGGACAGATGATGCGTCGGCCCGTATTTTAACGTCACAAGTAAGCGAGCGCACGATGCCCCGCCGTCTGCCAGCGCTGTGATCGCTGCCAGCTGCGTCCATTTTAGCTTGCTTATTATGGAGAGCAGGTGATTTAATGAGATGCCGTCCCCCATCTGCGTGGGACCTGCTGAATAAAAGATTTCAGGTCTGACAGTATACTTTCACTCTGTCCCGCCTCGGACATCGTTATGTACCCGTTTATGACGTAAGCCAGCGGTATCAAGTAATTAAAAGGTGGATAATGAATCCCGATGGGTTCGGCTAGAAACAGCATGTTCTAGTGTTATCTGTTCGGCTGGCCCGACTTTAGTTCCATCTAAGTCTGCTAGATTGAAAGTGTGGGCGCATTCAAGGTTATGGCACAGGGTGAGCTGTATGACCCGTGTCTCTCCCTAACAGCTTGCCTGGGCAGATTTTTCGTGGATTTTGTGGGTCTGGTGGATCAACGCTTGTTTTGTGCGCTGTCTCCACGGTGTGTTCAAGAACTCAATGCCGGTCTGTTGAAAAGGCCCCTGTCTTGTGACCCGTCCACACAGTCTGTTCGTGGGCTCCGTGCCGGGCCTGGTGCTGAGCTGACCCCTGTCCTGTGACCCGTCTCCACAGCCTGTTCGTGGGCTCGGTGCCGGGCCTGGTGGACATGCCGGAGCCGGTGGAGTACTCGGACACGGAGGTTATGCTCCGCTGGAAAATCCCGCAGGACTCTGGCCACACTCCCATCCTCGCCTACGGCCTGCAGGTCAAGCAGACGTGTGAGTGACCTCGGTCCGGATAAGCCGGAGGACGTCGGCAGAGCGCGCGTATCGGAGTGGGAGTTTGGGCTTTGAGGAGGTGTAGGTTTGAAACTTGCTGCGGGCAATGTTTTGCGACCTTCAAAGGCGTTCGGCGTGGGAGAGCGTGTCCCAAACGGACCGTAGTGATCACTGTTGATTGCCATGTTTTTTTGGGTAACGTTTGGCAAGTACCGCCGTATCTCTGTGCTCCCGTAAGATATTGGTTGCATGAGCGATACGCTGCCTAGCAGCACTGCAACACATTCTGTGGCTGTTTGGACCACATATCTCGATTTTGCGACACATGTGACGGGCATATGCAAACGCTCCGCGATCTAGCCGACCGATTGTACTGAGCTCGTCCGAAACGGTCCGTGCCGTCAGCTGACAGACCAAGTCGATTTTACTACGTGAATACTGTAGGGGTCTGCTGTGCGCCGTACACTGTTAGAATGTTTGCAAATCGGGCCTCAGTGGCGTGCGCCGTGCGGTGACTGTTCCCATTAGAGACGGATGCCGCCATTTCGTCAGCTGTTGATGAGTACGCGTCTGTGCCCAGTGGACCACGAGTGGACGGACGTCGCCAACAATATCGACCACGAGTTCTTCTGCGTGCGCGGCCTGACGCCGGAGAGCAACTACCACTTCCACCTGAGGGCGTACAACAAGTTCGGCTGGGGGCCTTACAGCGTGCCCAGCCCGACCGTGCGCACGCGTAAACTCGGTGAGTCGGGAATCCCCAAGTCCTTCCGCAGGCGCCTTTGTAAGGCGATGATGACCATGTTCACAGTCACTAAAGACTTTTGGCCAGAGGCAGAGGTAAGGCTGCTTAGCCTTTGCCACTCCGAGAGGTAAACCCGGGCGGCTTCTAACCGGTCTGATCCACATAGCAGTTAATCCCTTCGGCTTGTGACGCTCGGGGCAGAGGAGCGCCCGCTCACGCCCACCTGAGCCGTCGCCAGGTCACTGACCTCCGCCCCCAATCCTTGGCTGGCTCCGCGTGCCTACCGGGGCCGGATGTTGTGGGTCATCACCCTCGGCGCCCCGTGAGGGGGTGAGATCATCCGCTGGTGCCGAGTGAGGAACATGTGCGCCGTCTCGTCCTGCGCGGGCGCCCTGTGGGTGGGGGACTTTCTGGGCTAATCGGGCAGCAGCCCGACGCTGGGCTAACAGCTGACCGGGATTACCGACTCCTCAGTTGCCCAGCTGAGAGCGCCGCCGTCTGAACGAGCGCGGCACGACACTGCCGTATTCCAGATGAAGCCGGCTCGATGCTCTTGTGTGGGAGCGACAACTTTTAAATGTTATCCCATATTCCTGTTCGTTGAGGGCGCGATCATGCATTTTCACCCGATGCAGGGCACCATTCCCAGCGATCTCCTCACGCACCCTTGCGCAACAGTTAAGCGTTCGGAACGTTGTATGATCGCCCCACCCCACTCTAAACGCCACCCCAGCTTCACTCCCACTCCCAACCAACCTCCACTCCTATTACCTTCCCCACCCCCATCCCCATTTCCTATCCGCAGCGCGCTCGTCGCTCTAAGGAGCCCCACATCGCTCCCGTCGCTCTGAGGAGCCCTCGCCTCACTTTTGTCGCTCTGAGGGGCCTCCGTATCTCTCCCGTCGCTCTGAGGAGCACCCGCCTCGCTCCGGTCGCTCTGAGGAGCCCTCGCCTCGCTTTTGTCGCTCTGAGGGGCCTCCGCATCTCTCCCGTCGCTCTGAGGAGCACCCGCCTCGCTTCCGTCGCTCTGAGGAGCCCCATCGCACGTGCGCAGGCTGGGAGCGCAAGGTGATGGTGACGAAGGCGGAGAAGTACCTGCAGCAGCTGACCGAGTCGGGCCGCGCGCCGCTGGACCTGGAGGCACGTCCGACGCTTGACTACGCCGTCGAGGAGACCCCGGTGGAGCTGACCGACGGCTCGCCGGAGGGCAAGTACAGCTTCCTCGCCGAAATCAACAGGTGAGCCGGGGGTCGGGCTGGGCTGCGGCGAGACACGCACGATGTGAAAAACGATGCTGTAACCGTCATATCCATCCCAGTGAAGTTCACTGTAGTACAGTATCTTTAGTTATTGCACTCGCTGGCAGTCTTCACTCTGTTGTCTCGAAAAAGACGAGTTCCAGCTAAAGCGGGCTACGCATCACAACCAGCGGCCACTGCCGCGGCTTTAACGAGCTCCATCCGGCCCAGCGTCGGTTAAGCCAATGCGTCGTCAAAGCAAGACGGTTTTATATAGCCTGCTGGAACTGAATGATCAGGATGGAATGAATGCTTGGGCGGCGTCCGCCTCCGCCTTAGACTTGAGAGCTGAGCGCGGGATTCTGCTACTCCGCATTAGTCAGTTTACGGAACAACGCAATTGTGAAGGTGTCGGCGCTAAGGTGTCTTCTAGGAAGGCGACACCGGTGCAGCGCTAGCGGCGCTCCGTATGACGCAAACGTGTCGGAAGTAGAGGCGTGTGTCGTAGGCACTCTTGTCATCTCGCTATTGCAGGTGGCTCCGCTTCCCAGGGGCACGATGTGGGTGAACAAGCGATGGCTCATGTTGAGCGAATCCGGGAGATTGACATACGGGCTTGCTGTAGAACGAACTCCCCTCGCCTCGCCTTCTCTCCCCCTCCCCTCCACTCCGCTCCACTCCACTCCACTCCATACCCCTCCACTCCACTCCATACCCCTCCACTCCACTCCACTCCCCTCCACTCCCCTCCACTCCCGTCCTCTCGCCTCGCCTCGCCTCCCCTCGCCTCCCCTCGCCTCCCCTCGCCTCCCCTCCCCTCCCATCCTCGTCCCATCCCCTCCCCTCCCCTCGCCCTTCTGTTTTGGCGCGACGCCAGCCGTGCGCCGCCGCCCTGGCCCCCATGCTGACCCGCCCTCGTGCCGGGCCGTCGCCGCAGGGGGCGGTTCTCGCTGGTCGCCAAGTGTGTGGAGACGGCCACGGACCAGGTGCGCGCCGCCAAGATCCTGGAGGCGGGCGAGGAGACGAGGGACGCTGCGCACGCCGAGTTCCGCGCGCTGCGCCACCTGCGCCACGAACGCGTCGCCGCGCTGTACGACGCCTACAGGTGAGCCACGGGCCACGCCTAGGCAGAGTGCCCCTCCCCCTTCGAGGGGACTGCTTTTTGGTAGGCGATGCTTTTACTGCTACTTCCAGAATTTGGATTTCATCTCACCCCGCCCGGTCCAACATTATATGACGTTGCATACCTCAGAGCCACTTTTCAGTTCAGATACGAGTACTGCGTGGTCGCAGATGTGGTCATTTCGTAAAAGGGTCGGAATGCTACGGAACCGAAGCTCTCTCCACGGCGTACAAAGAAAGCACACGCCAGGGCCGGTCCCCAAAAGGACGCGGCTGGTTGCGGCCCCAGTCACCCCGAGGCGCCCGGCTCTCGCTCAGCTGACTGGTCGGAGAGAACTCAGCCAAACATCGCGTAATCTGATACGGTCCCGGCGCGATTACAAGGTACATGCATTGGGCTCCAAGTTACCATACATGGCGGTATGACTTCGCTGCGATGTACCATTCATTCAAAACTGCCCGTCCAACCGTGTGAGCTGACTGACTCGATCCGCCCGCAGAATGGACACCAAGTACGTGCTGATCATGGAGAAGCTGCAGGGTCTGGACATCCTCACCTATTTCCAGCTACGCCACGAGTACTCGGAGAACATGGTGGCCACCGTGGTGACGCAGGTGGGCTCCCGAGAACGGCGTGCTTTTCAGAGCTCGTCGTGAACGGACGGATCGTACTGGCTTGCTCCGGGGGTGCATGCCAGGCTCCTTGCTCTTTCGCGTTCAGAAGACGCCTGGCGAAGGAAGCAGCGGCATTTGGAGGCGCATTTAAACTGGGCAGCATTGAGTGACAGCGGTCTTGTGTAGCCTACAACGCGACCAAGCTTGCCAGCTGACGTTGCCACCGTGGACTGTGATGTGAATATCAGCGCAGGCCCCCCTCCATTGTGCTGAGAGATCGCACCGATCGCTAACACAGTTTGTTTATTTGTTTGTTTGCTTGCCGAAACGACCGCGTGCTGGTTCTCCGGGTTGCGTGTGGATCTCTCCTGCCCAGCAGGGGCCGGACTGTGAACGCCCCGAGCTCCGCCGATCTCGACTTTGACTTTGACCTTGTCTGGTCCCGGTGCGTTTGCACTGATCCCCTCTCCTAATGATGCAACGCCCTCTAACAGCATGGAGCCGGCAGCGTCACGTGCACCTTATACGCGTGGCTACCGGTCTCTGGCCGGCAGAGATCGGTGCCAGCGGGGTATTAGCGGACATTAGCCTACGCACCGTGGCAGACGTGGCGCTGGCAAACTATTACCGTACATGAGCCCACGCACAGTCACGGCCACGCCGTTATTGATCCGATGCCAGCTGCTGGCACCTCACCGCCGACACGCGACCACCGGGAGGCATGTCCCGGGTCCTCTCGAGCTTCCCTGGGTGGAGGCGCCTGAGCCCGCGCCGGCGGCCGCAGGTGCTGGACGCCCTGCAGTACCTGCACTGGCGCGGCGTGGCGCACCTGGACCTGCAGCCCGACAACGTGGTGCTCACCACGTGTCGCCGGGTGGACGTCAAGCTGGTGGACCTCGGCTCAGCGCAGCGCGTCACCAAGCTCGGCTGTCGCGTGCAGCGCTGCGGCAACCTCGAGTACTCCGGTAAGCCTCCCCCCCCCCCCGTTCGGAGTGTGACGTCACCGCCCGGCGGCTGGCGGGCAGGCCGGTGCGCGCCGGTTTTGACGAGAGGTCCGCAGGCAGGCCGGTGCGCGCCGGTTTTGACGAGAGGTCGGCAGGCAGGCCGGTGCGCGCCGGTTTTGAAGAGAGGCCCGCAGGCAGGCCGTCCGACGCGGTGGGACTCTCCCGGATTACCCCGAATGTGGGACGGTCCGGCAGTCCTGGACTACTGCGTTTCCAGGCAGAAAGTCTTTGGAACCCGGACGACCAGCCGGTTGCGTTATGCTGGGTCACCTGTAGCGCGCACTATGTGAGTTGATTTACCGTGGTACGGCATAACTGAGCTTCAGGATGGTATGCGACAGCGAATATATGATACGTTAATGCGGTACAACATTTACGATGTATGATATCGTACTGTGATCAATCGCATTGCATTTATAGTGCCGGCTGCGTTTAATGCGACCAGATTGAAAAGCTCGATATAACCCGAGAGAGAAAGATGATGACACAGACACGCAGCTTCGCCACGAGATGTCTCAGCAGGAGTCGCCATCGTCTACCGTGAGTCCTGTTCCGACGTCCTCAGCCGGTATCGCTGCTACCAACACCGGTCACCGAGCGCTGACACCGGCGTCCGCGTCGTCCAGCCCGTTGACACCGCCCCCTCCTGCCTCCCGCAGCGCCCGAGCTGCTGGCCGACGAGCCGGCCTTCCCGATGACGGACGTGTGGTCGCTGGGCGTCATCACGTACCTGCTGCTGTCGGGCGTGACGCCCTTCCACGGCGACACCGACGCCGAGACGCGCCAGAACATCCTGTTCGTCCGCTTCCGGTTCGAGTACCTGTACCGCGAGATCACCACCGAGGCCACCCGCTTCCTCATGCAGATCTTCAAGCGCGCACCGAGGTGGGTGGCGGCGGCCGAGCGGGCGGCGGCGGCCGAGCGGGGGTGTCGGGAGACGCGGCTCGTTGCGGCCGCTCGTCACGCGTCCGGCTGAAGGTCGGAGAAGGTCGTCCGCCGCGCGCTCGGATCAAAGACGGCTTGGGGCGCAGTTCCGGCTGCGGGTGCAGGCGCGGTTCTAAATCAGCCGCGCCGGACGTGCCCGGTATGCCGGCCGGAGCGGCCGCATCGCGCTGGGAAAGCCGACCCGGTCGCGCTATGTCGCGTATCTGCGAGGCGCGTGGCCGACGTGCTTCGCGTGTAGAGCGGTGACGTGCCCGGGCGGGTGCCTCCGCCTGCCCTAACGAGGTGACGCCCGTTCGCAGCAAGCGGCCCACGTGCGAGGAGTGCTCCGAGCATCGGTGGCTGCTCTCCAACGACTACATGCTGAAGCGACGGGAGCGAGCCGTCTTCTTGGGCAACCGGCTGCGGGTGAGAGGCCGTCGACCGACCCGACGCGAGCGGGCGGGCTGAGGGGCCGCCCCCACCCCTTCCCGGTGTGCTGAACCGCACACAGATTCCGTGCGGACTGCTAAAGGGAAGTGGAAAAAGGGGCTTTGTAAAGTGAAGGCTGTAAAAACTGTGTAAAGGGGACTCTGGCAATGGTTTGATAAAGCACGGGTATTATGGAATGGCATGGAAGAGGATTATCTTTAAGAGGGCTGGTAAAGGGGATTGTGGCGATAGCTTGATAAACATGGGCGTTATGAAATGTTGTGTTATGGGAAACAGTATGAATTGATATATAGTAGTTAATTGATTTAGTATCTATTGCTTCGACTTTGGTACGATTCAGCTGCCTCGTTTTTAAAGTAGGTGAATTACACGATAAAACAATGTGCGGATCGGTATAAATCGCTCGTTGTTTTCTTCGTCGTTACCAACCGTCACAATTTCGTGACAAAATACTGTCTTGTTCAGTGCCTTTAACCACCGTTTGAAACACGAGGTCATTGGTTAGGTGTTGGCAATCTGCGGATCCTGTGCATCGCACAAGACGTGATGGCGCCGTCCTTGCCGTGCACTCGTTTGTCCAGCGTCGCTCACCGTCTCCGTCCGCCAGGAGTACTCGGAGAAGTACCACCGCGAGAGGTTCGAGCAGGCCACCCAGAGCCCCGACCTGCTCTCCGGCTTCGGCATGGGCCTGTCGCGCTCGCTCAGCGTCGAGAACAACGCCTACACCACCTTCTAGTGACGCGGCGGCGGCGAGGCCGCCCGCGCCGTCGGGGAGATGTCGACCGCCCGCGTCCTGTCCCGCACGCGACCGCGCAGCCCAGTTTGTCAGATGCACTCACCCTTGTGCCACCTCTTCTTCAGCTCTTGTCTCGGTAGTTCACACGCTAGGAAAGTTGTCCGCTAATTCTCGTCCGCCAGAAGCCTGCTGTCGACGATCGCTGGAGCTGGGTGTTCTCCGACGCGCCGACCCGCTTGAGAGTTGGGCGGTTTGTGGATACGGTGAAGGTTTCTCTCCGGGTGTAACCGTATGCGATATATTGGTAATACATCGCTGTATAAAGGAGAGCGTTTTTATGCAGCGGTTGGCAGGAGAGGGCTAGTGTCGGGATATGAACCGCTCGCATGGCATTGACTTAGAATATGAGACCTCTAAAACGCACAATTTAAAAAAGTTGTCAGAGCTCATGGCATTACATACACACACACACACACACACACACACACACACACACACACACACACACACACCACACACACACACACACCACACACACACACACACACACACACACACACACACACACACACACACACACACACACACACACACACACACACACACACACACACACACACACACACACACACACACACACACACACACACACACACACACACACACACACACACACACACACACACACACACACACACACACACACACACACACACACACACACACACACACACACACACACACACACACACACACACACACACACACACACACACACACACACACACACACACTATATATTTATCTATATATATATATATATATATATATATATATATATATATATATATATATATACATGTATATATCCAAAACTGTCATTTTAAGTCCAGATAGCGATCATTTTATTCAACCAATCCGGATCATTTTAAATCCAGATAATCCATATACATATATATATATATATATATATATATATATATATATATATGTGTGTGTGTATGTATGTATGTAAAACCAACTGTCAAAGGACGTCCACGCCCAGGGTTTGATGTGGGCTATGAAACCGTGTGGCGAGAACAACCCATCATCAACCCATCCGCGGGTGTGGCGGTGTGAACAGACGGTGCAGCTAAGGCATGGCTATCTGGATTTAAAATGACAGTTTTGTGTATGCATGTCAAGGGTGCGCGAAATCCCACCGGGAGATTCATGCAACAAAGGTGGCACGACGGCCCACGAATGCAAATATATTCGCCGCGATGGGTTAAGTAACGGCATTACGAAGTTGACTTCCGGCTGTGACGAAACAGGTCATAACATTGGATCACCGCATCCTGCAAGGATTCCGTCGCGGCATTCCCAAATGTCGTGACATTCAAAGATCGCCCTCTAGGAACGCGGGGGACGGATATAAGATCCGAGAAGCCATAATTCATCATTAATAACATCTTCCGTAGAGGACGATATCTGAATGTCATGACATTAGAGAATACCACGATGTAACACTTAACGTCACACTTAGGCAATGCGCATGTGGGGTCACAGTCGGCACGGGCTTCACATATTTCACAAGTTCCTTTGATCTCACGGTGATGGTATGCTTTGTGTGCTCCCGTAAAAGTGACATGCGCAAGAAAGGCTCTCTATCTCCGGCATTATATAGTATAACGGGACTCCCATGTGATCAGCAAGTCTTCTCAGTTATGTAATATATATATATATATATACATATATATATATATATATATATATATATATATATATATGCTTGGCTACGTGTTTTATCGACGATTCCCTGCAAACCGAAGGTCCGTTATTCACAGCGACAAAATTCACAGCATCCGTTAACGATCGCGTTCAAAGAGGCGCTCGAATAAGCACTGCGCATGGCAAATGCTCAAATTACGTTCCAACGGAGTAGTGCAACAAGGTCTGAGAGATATGAGGTTTCAGGGCAGACGGAACGGGAAGATATGTCGCAAAGATTAAAATGTTAAGCTCTTGTGCGATATCCACAGCAGAGCACGGATAACTCGCCACATTTTTAAAACTTGTCATCCCCGTGGTTTGCTGTGATTTGCATTTTTCTCAGATGAGCATTCAACAGCTGCAAGAATGAGTGATCAAAATACACCAGGATCTACTCCGAGTAGCTCCAAACCTGAATCAACACAAAACATTGTCCAAACTATTGTCACTCCAGCTCGCAGCAGTTCCGTTACCAAGTCGACTGGCGCTCAGGACACAGCAGGAGGAAGTGGCGGCGCGTTAGATACGCTGCAACCCGGCGGCCTAGTGTCGGATAGGCCGTCCGGTGCATCGGCGTTCAACTTCTTAACGGGTGCCCAATCAGACCTGGCGCACCAAACCCGCTCCAAAGTGGAGAGCTCAATGACGTGGTCGCAGCACGAGGCCCCGAACCCACTCTTGTCCGAAGGAGAACCCTCCGATCCCTCCACCACCGACTTCAACTACGCCGCCTACGTGCGCGAGCGAGCTGCCGTCAGTAAGCAGTACATCAGCGTGGAGGAGAGGAAGCCATCGATGGAGCCACAGGACCCCTTCAACATGGACGCCGCCGAGGAGCAGCTGCTGAAGAAGCCGCCGACCAGCTTCATCGTCATCGGCAAGCCGGGCTCGGGCAAGACGACGACGGCCAGGCTGTTGGCCGCCTGGTGGCGCACGATCTACATCAGCGCCGACGACCTGGTGGAGGATATCATAGGCAACAAGTCCGAGCTGGGCGACAGAATGCGGTCACTGCTGACCTCGGGCGCCTCCGTCCCGGAACAGCTGATTGTGGCGATGCTGAGCGAGCGACTGAAGCAGGAGGATGTCCTGCACTACGGTTACGTGCTGGATGGCGTGCCCTGCTTGTCGGAGAAGGTGCTGTCGCACCTGGATCAGCTGAAGATGGTAATAGAGTCACCGCTTCCTCCAACAGTGATAATTCATTTGAGAATTTCGGATGAGGATCTCATGGCACGGATGTTAACATACCGGGTGGATGAAGAAAAGGGTCGGTTCTATACCTGGATATATTACACGGACAAGCCGAAGCCACCCAAGAAGAAAAAGCCTCCGCGAATGCCACTTGACGATGACGAGGAAGAGGAAGAACAAGAGGAAGAGGAAGAAGCCGTGGTTGAGGAGGAGGAGGCAGTGGAAGAAGAAGAGGAAGAGGAAGAAGAGGAGGAGGTGGAGGAGGAGGAAATAATTCCAGAAGAAGACGAAGAGGGGGCTGAAGGTGATGCAGTCGAGGAACACGAAAAGACCTTCAAGCCAAAGAAGAAGAAAAAGCCCGCCAATCCCCTAGCACCAGCTCCAAAGGCCGCCAGAGACCGACTGCTGCGAGTTCCGGAGGGCCACCAGTCCGAGTTCGCGTATCAACTCGAGGCGTACAAGTCTCGCCTGATGCTCCTGCTCGAAGACTACATGACGAACCACAGTCCCGAGTTTCTGATCGAGATCGACGCCACGCTGGCGCCGCGTGCGGCGTTCGAAAGCCTCAAGCTGCGGCTGGCCGTCCTGCCGGTCGCGCGCGCCCTCGTGCCCGTGCGCCTGCTGGAGGAGGGCGGCGAGCCGCCGCAGGTGACCGCCGAAGACGACCCGGACGAGATCACGCACGTGCTCTCGCACACCAACCCCATCTGTCTGCGCTTCAAGTGGACGCCGTCTGACTTCGGCGTGACGTGTCCGGTCAGCATGAAGCAGGGCCGCGTCGTGCGCGGCGACCCGACCTGCGCGGTCGGCTTCCTCAGCCACTTCTACGTGATGAGCGGCGCCGACACGCTGGCGCAGTTCATGCAGTGTCCGCGCCGCTTCTTGTCCGGGCCGCCGCGGCTGCCGTGTCGCGTGATCGTGTGCGGTCCGCCGGCCAGCGGCCGCAGCACGCTCGCGGCGCAGATCGCCAGCTGCCGCTCGGCCGACGTGATCGACGCCGGCGCGGCGAGCGCGCCGTACCTGGAGGAGAAGCGGGTGCAGTACAGGGAGGAGAAGCGGCAGGAGAAGCGGCAGGCGCTGGCCGAGTCCTTCGCGGAGAAGAGGAAGGCCGAGCAGGAGGAGGCAGAGCGACTGAAGAAGGAGGAGGAGGAGCGACTGAAGACGGAGGAAGAGGAACGGCAGAAGCTTCAGCAAGAGCAGGGGTCAGAAGGGCAGCCAGATCAGAGTGCAGCGCCGAAGGCGACTGCTGACGGAGAAGAGACGAAAGAGGATGGTTCTGACAAGCCTCAAGACCCTGCAGATGGCAAGGACATTGAGCCCGACGAGACTCAGTCGCCGAATTCTGCAGAGGACACGAACAATGCGCCACCAACCCAGTCGGCCGAGGCCACCCCGGAGTCCGGTGGAACCTCGAGCGCGAACGTCACACCCGACGCTGCGGACTCAAAAGACGCTCCGATAGCCCGGTCGAGCCAGTCTGTGAAGCCTGCAGAGTCGGGAGCCGGTGGCGGCTCTGCGTCTGCAGAGGGGGTGTCAGGTTCAGCGGACCAGGTCTCTTCTCAGTCACAGGTCACGAACCAGTCTGTGAAGTCTTCAGAGTCGGGAGCCGGCGGCGGCTCTGCGTCTGCAGAGGGGGGTGTCAGGTTCAGCGGACCAGGTCGCCTCCCAGTCACAGGTGCCCGATAACGAGCCAGCCGCCTCGACAACATCAGCCGCGCCAGCTGATGCGGGCAGCCAGGATTTGGCCGAAGCGAAGAGCGCTGACTCGGCCGGCTCAGTCGCCCAGGCGGGCAGCCGAACCAGCACGCGGGCACCGGACCCTGACGCGGTCAGCAGAGCTAGCTCGAAACCTCAGGGCGTCGATGGTGCCAGCGAGACAGTGTCTCGAACCCAGAGCGCGAACGAAACCAGCAGGACCAGCTCGCAGCTGAACTCCGGCAGCGATGAGCCGGCCGAGCCGCCGGATCCGGAGGTGGAGGCGGCGCTGCTGGAGTACGGCCCCGAGCTGGAGACCCTGGTGCAGGACGTGCAGCTGGAGCCGGCCGACTGGCTCCGCGTGCTCCAGGAGACGGTGGCCGAGCGCGAGCGACAGCGGCACGCCGCCTCCGAGGACACGCCCGCGCACGGCGGCTGGGTCATCGATAATATGCCCACCGAACCGGCGCTCTGGTCGATGATGCAGCAGGAGAAGTTCGAGTATGACGACCTGGTCTGCATCTGGGATGACTCCGATGACTTTCTGTTTCTGCAGGACTATTTCTATCAAGAGCACAAGGAGCAGGTGAGCCAGAGCATTGTCGCGACAAAGACCGCCGAAGAGCAGGAGGCAATGCAGAAAAACGAAGAAATGGCCCAGAAAATGCAAGAACAGGCGAACGCAG